GCGACCCTTTCACTGCCACCGGCAAACTTATACTGTTGAAGTCAAGGTCGATGTTCGAGATCTCCTGCGTGATATAATAAAGGGATTTCAGATCTCATATTCTCTGCATCCAGCATAGTCAGAGATGATAGTCTCCATATTTAGTCCAGCGCAGGTGGCATGAGAGATGCCGAGGCTGGAGAAAGATGCGCGGGATCATTGTCCTTGGCTGTCATTTCGGCTTTTTCTATCATGCTTAACCCTTCGCGAAGGCTTAGGACATTCAAACCGAGCAGTTGGACATGGCCTTGACATGAAACTGAACCGTTGGGAAATGGGGAAAGCGATAGGCTTGCGCTTCTCCGGTACGACCTTTTGGAGATCTGGCGTATTTGGAGTAGAGTTTGTGAGATATCTGATGAACCACGCGCGATCGTATGGAATACTCGAGATCTGCAGACCCTGGAGCATCCCGAATAAAAGCTAGTAGAGGCCACCGCATATGGCTGTACTGGTTTCCTTCCCACTCCGGTCCGCGGCGTTGTATAGATGTCCTTCGACAGGAAGCGTGATGAGTGACATGTTGAAAAGTCTCAATAATGTTTGTGTGTATGGCGAAGAGAACATATCGGTTTCTACCCATCCACTTTGCTATGTCGAGGTCTAGATCAGGACCAGCCGCCTTCGTCGACCAATGTTGGGCATTTCCATGCTAGTCCAGGAATCTGGTTCCATTCCCGCATGGGTGGGTTTCGGGACTCTGTATGTAGAGGACATCCTGACGAGTCCAGGATCATGGGCACAATCGAAATTCGGATGGCATAACCCACCGAGGGCAATACCATTCCAGATAGAGGATGTTAAAATTTAGTAAGCTGCTCTCTAGCAATAGATCCATATGAAGAGTATAAGATCAGTTGGCATCGGGATGGCCTTTCAGAGCAGAAGCACCTTCTGTCAAATCTTCAGCATCCGTCGCCATCATTTGGAGAGAGCTGTTCAGCAAGGGAAGGGAAGACCTGATAGGCTTGTCCAGTCTTCTTGAGCATTGTCAGTTTGTGAAGGCGAATCCGCAACTTCCACGCACTTAATCGCGAACCTTGGCACTGGATATGTACGAAAAGTAAACTGGTTCTGGACTTGCGGTACAAGGCGACCCCCAGGACCCTCACAGGAGAACCGCAAAGGACGTAGGCATGGTGTGTTCCGCAGATCTTCCGTCTGGATTGGATGCTGAGTAGCATTGTAAATAATCCAGGCCTGGACTTTGCCGTATGCGTGTACCGTGGACGTAATCTTGCTTCGCAAAATCTGCCAGCCATCATTTGCTGCTTTTGACACCCCCTATGGTGTTGGCCCGTATGAGAGAAGACTGACAGTAAGGTCTGTAGGCGAGTAATTGAAGTCCAATCCTCATCTGCGAGAATACAAGATTTCTCCCCCGCTAATGCTTCTATTGCTGATTGTTCCCAGTGTGTCAGCGAACGAAGGGACTCTCATAACAACGATGGCAAAGTTGACAGTCTCCTCGTCCGATGTTGGGACAATGTTCGAGGCTTGGACGTTGCTGCCAATTGAAACTTTCTGGCTTATTGAAGTCTCCATATCTCTGATAACAGCGATAATCTGTAAGCCCTAGTCCTTGAGAAAAGTGGAGAAGGTAGCGGACTTACTAACAGTGCTGCTACTGTGGTGCAGAGCTAGCTGGGCAGATTTAGGAAGCTGGTTCCAGTGATGATGGAGGTGTGCGTAGATGAACGAAAGCTCAGTCGGGCAAGTCCTGTGCTGGCACTCAGATAATCCCGTAACTGGTTTGCCCGTCTCGCCCTTCATGTTCTACCCCCTTACACTGACTATCAAGAAAAATTCCCAGCGTCCTTGGCAACATCGAGCGTATGGATGTCTGACCAGCCCAGTGGGTTGTGCTTATGAACCCATTGACAGGTGAAAAGTTATGATGGAGGATGGCGTTCCAGATGCCTGGGACATGGCTCTCTGGCAATGTTTGGGCCAGTCTCTGGATCTCGAATTAGATCGCTTGCACGTCAAAGTACTGGTAACTGTTAGTTCTAGTCATATACGTTTTAAGGAATAATGCATACTGTAGGAGCGGAATATAATTTATTTGAAGAGCTCGATGTTGAAACTTTTTTCGTCCAAGTATATGAATGATGCTGAGAATATAGATATGAAAAGAAGTTCAGTTCCGAGAGCGAGGGGGGAGGGGGGAGCCCGTCCTTTTATAGCCCTCGAGGAGGGGTAGGTGATTCACTGCGGACAAGCGAGGTCATTGTCGCAGTGAATACGAAGCAGTCTGCGATACACAGTGAATACACTATCTATATCAGCATATTCTGAGGGTGACCGACTTGCAAATGATTGCATGTCACATGCTTTGGAAATCCGTCAGAGCGAGTCTCTGCCTAGGTATCTGGTCAACGTAGATGCTCATATTGGTGAACTGGCAACGTATATATATTGAAAGAACGAGAAATATGATGAAAGTCCAGGGATATCGACTCTTTATATGCGGAACCTCTCGTATTCGGTGGTTTTCCATCACCTTCATTGTCTCGGGTAGTTGCCGGTCAGATGGAAATTCCCTTCACACTGACGTATCGATACTACCAATTGGGGCAAGACACGGGTTTTAATTCTCTTTTTTAAAGATTCCTGTACACTTGGCTACATTATTATGCATCGATTGATGTACTCACATACAACTAGCTCCCAAGTGTACTTTTTGTGGTACATACTCATAATAATAAAAGACATTTGATGGAAATTCTCCAAAGATGGTCCCTATTGCTACATTCCAGTATTCCTGCTTATACTTGGCAGTTTCCGACAGGTCCTGATTAGTCTGCTACCTCTCACCCCTATGGGTGATACCGGTCGATTATCAATTTCTTTTAACTGGTACGGAGCAGCACGGCCGTTGTACTGTACGGATGGCATCTCCAATCCTCCGCTTATAGCCGTCGAAGAGGCCTTTCATGGATTTCTGGGCTCATTTCCGAATAGAGTTCGTCTACCACGATACAGAGGAGATAGTATCTGGGCAAAGCCGTTAACCTTGTTTGAAAAAACTCCCGGAAGATGTCGATGCTGGCCGGATACAATCCCGTCCTGGGACACATCATGCTTGTTGAAGACGGGTTATTCGTCTAAGAATTGCAGAATAAGACTCTCTCCATGAGGTCTGTAAGACACTTAGCTGTCCCCTAGGTCTCATATTTATTCTGTTAGTTATAGTCTTCCTATTCTTATTCACCTCTGGAATGAGAAAATTAGGCCAGTTGTATTTCTTGCTGATACTCCCATGAAACGGCAATCCACGTAGATAAACCGGGGCAGACGCATTGAAGATAACTTGAATTCATAGCAATTTAGCATCCTCAGAATCTTCTCTCCATTCAGGCTATTCAAGCTCACTTGTGCTATTGCTTACAGTCATCCTCTGTAGGATATCAAATGCTAATTATTATATTATCTCTAGAATCATATGAGTTCGAGTTGTATTTTTGTCCTTGAACCTTTACAAATAGCGCTGTCTATCTACTTTCCTCTTCTATTTGTCTAGGACAGGATCTTTTGGAAGAACCCTTCGTAGCCTTCGACCTGTTGGAGAGCATCTCGACGGAGCGCATCAGTCAGTTGCGAACTAGAGCCTAGCATCAGGTTACCGGTTCACTTCTTGCCACGCTAACAACCAAGCTTCTTCAGGCCGAGTTATTCAGCTGGTTGAGTTTGTCGTTTGGTAGATTCGAGATCAATATGACGGTTAGTCACGGAAAAGAAACAGAAACAGCAAATGCCTGTGACTGAGTTTCTGCACGAAATGTAGTCGACTTCTGTATCCAGTAATATTCGAAGAGGATAAACAAAAACGATGTAAAGAAAAAAAATAAATGCGAACGTGACCTGACGAGTAACAAGCAGCCTCAGTGAAATTATATATTACTATCAGTAAGTGTCAGGTGACCTCCATACTCCGTATAGCCAGCAGTAGTTAGAAATGGGCGTGCATCTTCCCTCCCTTTGCTATGGTGCCTGGAAATTCTAACCTTGACCTCATGGCAGGGCTGGCTTACGGGAGTCAATAATATTAGCTCTTGCTGATTTCCCCCCTGCCTATCCAATTCAATATATGCCGCACTATTACTTATTTCATGTTGATAGACGCTATCGTGATGTGGCGGAACTATATTTGTTTCATTTCGAAGGAGAATTACTATCTTATCTCATATCTATTGGTTGACAAATAAATAATAATTATTATCAACCTTGATGGCATTCCTATCTAACTCGGTTATCGTCGGAGTCAGCAGAAGTGGCCAACGGGCCTGAGCTCAATCCGTAGTGTAGAAATTGACAACTGAAATTGCGTTGCTGGTACCCAATAGGATGAGTCAGTAATAGCAAGCACCAGACAGGACGAACTGAGCCTCAAACGTCTTCATGAAGGATAATTCTCGAACGGTCACAGGATGCGTTCTGTCCCGGGTTCTATCCAAGTCGACCGTGCAAGCCAAGACGCCACCCCCAACGTGGAGGTGGCAAGAGTCCACTCACCCCGTTCCCCCTGGCGAGATAACAGATGACAGTCCGCTTGGATCTCGCACTTTGTATAAAACGAGTTAGTATCTTCCTGCCGTCGAAGTCCCTGATTGAACGAAAAAGGCGATGCCCAGGGAATGGCCCGGTGCCCAGTGGATTAGCCCGACCCCGCATTGTGTGCTTTGACAGCACGATGAAAGTCAATCCAGATAAGGACCTGCTGAGACGCAGCACTAGTGTGCCTTGGCCATTTTACGTGCTGCAGGCCGTGCTTTTTCTTGTCTGATGTCCCCTCCCGACGAGACGGTTTTTCTCCGAGTCGGTTCTTTGCTCTCTCTCTCTCTCGTTTCCTCTCTATCACCTGCATAGAGTATGTCAAGATGGTGTCGCACGACATGGATCGCATGGGGACAGACGAAAAGCGCGATGCCATCCGCGCCATCGTCGAAGCTGACCTGCTGGACGACCGGTACATGCAGACCCAGCGCGGTCTGCAGAACCGCCATGTGCAGCTGATGGCTCTGGGAGGCACAATTGGCACCGGTCTGTTCGTCGGAACGGGTCAATCGCTCGCCATCGGCGGTCCGGCGTCGCTGCTACTGGGATACATCTTCATCTCGTGCTTGGTCTACTGCCTCGTCACGGCCATCGCGGAGATCGGCGCTTACATGCCCGTCCACGGCGGCACCATGAGCTACCACGGCTTTCGCTACGTGTCGCGCAGCCTGGGCTTCGCCATGGGCTACCTGTACTGGTACTCGATCGGCATCCTGGTCCCCTACGAGATCACCGCGGCGTCGCTCGTCATCGACTACTGGCACCCGGGCGTCCATGTCGCCGTCTGGATCACCGTCATGATCGTCGTCATCGTCGCCCTGAACTTCCTGCCCGTGCGCTTCTACGGCGAGTCGGAGTTCTGGTTCGCCGGCATCAAGGTCATCACGCTCGTCGGCCTGTTAATTCTGTCGTTTATTCTCTTCTGGGGCGGCGGTCCGAATCGCCAGCTGCTGGGGTTCCACTATTGGAAGCATCCCGGCTCGTTTAATCAGTACATCGTGACGGGGGATGCCGGTCGCTTTGTCGGTTTGCTGCAGTGCATGATCTCCAGCGCCATCGCCTTCATTTTCGCCCCCGAGCTCATCGTCATCAGCGGCGGCGAGATGGAATCCCCTCGACGCAACGTGCCCCGAGCTGCCCGCCGGTATATCTACCGGCTGATCTTCTTCTACATCCTGGGCGTCCTGGCCATCGGCGTCATCTGCCCGTCGAATGACTCGCGACTGACGAACGGTGGTGCCGGGGCCGGATCGTCGCCGTTTGTCGTCGGCATCAAGAACGCAGGCATCCCCGCGCTGGACAGCATCGTCAACGCCGCCATATTGACGTCTGCCTGGTCATCGGGCAACTCGTTTCTCTACATGTCGTCCCGGTCTCTGTACTCGCTCGCGGTGTCTGGAAACGCGCCCAGCATCTTCAAGGCCTGCAACCGATGGGGGGTGCCCTACGTGGCCGTGGCTGCCTCCGCCTTGTTCTCGCTGCTGGCCTACCTCTCCGTCGGCACATCCAGCTCGATCGTCTTCAACTGGCTGATCAACTTCACCAACACGTCGGGCTTCATCTCGTGGATCTGCTGCTGCATCGTGTACTGCCGCTTCCGCAAGGCCGTCCGCGCACAGGGCGTCCAGCAGCCCTACAAGTCCAAGCTGCAGCCGTACGGCGCGTACATCGGGATTGTGGGCTGCACGTTCCTGACGCTCATCAACGGGTTTACCGTGTTCTTCCCGTCCAAGTGGTCCGTCAGCAGCTTCTTCACTGCGTACATTGGGGTTCCGGCGTTTTTGCTGCTGTATTTCGGCCACCGCACCGTGTTCTGGCGCGACCCGTGGGCGTGGCGGCCAGAGGATGTCGATCTGCAGACCGGACTGCAGGAGATTATAGCCGCAGAGAAACCGCCCAAGGTGCGCGATACGTGGTGGAAGAAGATGATGGCAGTCATCGATTAACCTGCCGGTGGCAGATGGGAAGTAACTCTATATATTGAGTTCTAGACAAGTATATAGCTGTGGAAGGTGTTGAATATTATCACATGTCCCATATCTGTTCCCCCCCCCCCTTTACCCGTACTATATAGTCCTACTGGTTTATCAAACTTGTAGAGATCTCGTCGACGCAACTAGCTTAGACTCGATTCCATGGTTCTGTAGGAGACCATCTGCATTTAATATTCTCTGGCGAAGAGGTATGTCATTTCCCTCAGATGAATTATTCCCAGGGAAAGGATAAAATAGCTGTCAGAGATGGAAATTGCCATTGGATGACCTAGACTAGAATTCTAGTCCTGTGTGACATGTCGCAAAGACCAAACCTACTGCTCATCCTGTCAAGCAGAGCTGGTGCTTATACGGTCATGAAATATTATCATTATTGATGATGATTGCAGATGTGATGTTGCCCGTGGCACATGATTCATGTCCCGTTCGCTTCCCCGCCATTTATCCATTCTTTGTTCTCCTCCACCGAAGCTGCGCCAGACCCAGCATTTCCCCCGATCAACCATGGAACTTGCCCGCCTGCTGTCTGGGTGATAAAGTGCAATTGACTTCCCCGCAGTCTGTTTATCCTCCTGTCAACTCAAACTTAGCAAATATCTCCTGTGAAGCCTGTATAGACACGCAGCATATCATGGCGGCCAACAGCGCTGCTCCATCCGAGCAGCCCGCTGTTCCCGATGGCACTGGTCAGTTACTTGCTTCTGGAGTATTGCTCCCCACTCAATCGCAGCAGGTGTCCTCCAGCTCGATCCGTGGCTCGAACCGTACAAGGATGCGCTGCGGAGCCGATTCGGGTACGCTCAGGACTGGATCAGCCGCATAGATGAGACGGAAGGGGGGTTGGAGAAGTTCAGCAGGGTATGAGCCTGAGACATGTTCATCGTTTGTAGGACACTGACGGTGCGACGCAGGGGTACGAGAAATTCGGGTTCAATGTCAACGACAACGGAGATATTACGTACCGAGAATGGGCACCCAATGCCGTAGAGGCCCATCTCATCGGCGACTTCAGTGAGTTGCAGATCGGGAGTTTAATCTAGTGCTGACGATGAAAGATAATTGGGATCGAAAGGCCACTCCGATGACAAAGGACAGGTTTGGAGTCTGGGAGGTGACTCTCCCCAGCAAGAACGGCGTACCTGCCATCCCTCACAACAGCAAACTCAAGGTATGAACTATTCACTCGGAGGGTCGCAGCATGCAGATTGACTTCCTGCCAGATCACAATGGTCACACCGACCGGAGAAGTCATCGACAGAATCCCCGCGTGGATCAGAAGGGTGGTTCAAGACCTGTCCGTGTCTCCGGTCTACGAAGCCGTCTTCTGGAACCCTCCTGCAGAAGAGCAGTATCTGTTCCAGCATCCCCGTCCGAAGAGACCGCTGAGTCTGCGCATCTATGAGGCGCACGTTGGGATATCCTCGCCGGAGACAAAGGTGGCCACGTACAAGAATTTCACGGCCAACATGCTTCCACGAATCAAGTATCTGGGCTACAACGCCATTCAGCTGATGGCCATCATGGAGCATGCATACTACGCAAGCTTTGGCTACCAAGTCAACAGCTTCTTCGCCGCCAGCAGCCGCTACGGTACTCCAGAAGACCTGAAAGAGTTGATCGACACGGCCCACAGCTTAGGGCTGGTCGTCCTCCTCGACGTCGTCCACAGCCACGCGTCCAAGAACGTGCTGGACGGGCTGAACATGTTTGACGGCACCGATCACCTCTATTTCCACGGAGGTGGCAAGGGCCATCACGACCTGTGGGACAGTCGCCTGTTCAACTACGGCAACCACGAAGTTCTCCGTTTTCTGCTGAGTAACCTGCGCTTTTGGATGGAAGAGTATCGGTTTGACGGCTTTCGATTTGACGGAGTTACCAGCATGCTTTATGTGCATCATGGGATTGGCACGTATGTAATATATGTATCTCTGCCGGCAAAAGTTGACCTGTTGACCATACAGGGGATTCTCCGGTGGCTATCACGAGTATTTTGGGTCTGTGGTTGACAAGGACAGCGTGATGTATTTGACGCTAGCCAACGAAATGCTCCACGCCATTTACCCGGAAACAATCACCATAGCAGAGGACGTCTCGGGGATGCCGGCCCTGTGTCTGCCGCTGTCAATGGGCGGAGTGGGCTTTGACTACCGTCTCGCCATGGCAGTGCCGGACATGTACATCAAGCTACTCAAGGAGAAAAGAGACGACGAGTGGGATATGGGCAACCTCGCCTTTACGCTGACCAACCGGCGACATGGCGAGAAGAGCATCGCCTATGCGGAGAGCCATGATCAAGCGTGAGAAAAGCCCTCTTGAATTAATGGCCAATGAGCTGCTAGCTGACAGCCAACTTCTAGCTTGGTCGGAGACAAATCCCTAATGATGTGGCTATGCGACAAAGAGCTGTACACGCACATGTCAGTCCTGACAGAGTTGACACCCATCATCGACCGAGGCATGGCGCTGCACAAGATGATCCGGCTGGTGACGCACGGTCTCGGAGGCGAAGGCTACCTGAACTTCGAGGGCAACGAGTTCGGCCACCCGGAATGGCTCGACTTCCCGCGCGCAGGCAACGGCAACTCATTCTGGTACGCGCGGCGACAGCTCAACCTGACGGAGGACCACCTGCTACGGTACCGGTTCCTGAACGAGTTCGACCGCGCCCTGCAGCTGGCGGAGGAGAAGTACGGCTGGCTGCACTCGCCGCAGGCATACGTGAGCCTGAAGCACGAGGCCGACAAGGTTCTCGTCTTTGAGCGCGCGGGCCTGCTGTGGGTGTTCAACTTCCATCCGACGCGCAGTTACGCCGACTACCGCGTCGGCGTCGACCAGCCGGGGACGTATCGCATCGTGCTGGACACGGACGATACGGCGTTTGGCGGACACGGCCGCAATGCGAGCGAAACGCGGTTTTTTACGACGGATTTGCCGTGGAATGGCCGGAAGAACTTTCTCCACGTGTATATTCCGGTGCGAACGGCGTTGGTAAGAGCTCTTGCTCTAGCTGCAGTGCGCTATAGGTTGATCGTGAACTTGAACTGATGAGACGAAATTTCAGGTCTTTGCGCTGGAGGAAACACTTTAAATTGGGACGAATTTCAGGATCTTTTATCCCCTCCGATTCTACGCTTGATATATGTATCAAGAGTAATACGGCCGGGATAGCGAGGTTCGATTCGAGAAGACTACACATGATGTAACGAATGTACTCGGGTTTATATATTGTTTCTTAGTTACATAACCTACACCCAACAAAAAGAAAACAGAGAAACACAGTGCAGTGCAGTGCAGTGCAGTTAAATACGCATATGTATCCAGTTGATCAAATAGCCTACCCATGAGTCATGAAATCAGGTCAATCATGGTAAAATATGCAATTATCAGAATGGTGAGGTAGGCACTAGCACTGAGGACTGGACAGTCATATCATATTCTATCATACCCATACCAGAGGATTCACGTGGAATATCATGTAGAGAGACAGAGAGAAGTGCAACACAGTCATAACTCATAACCTACTATGTACAGTACAGTACATATGTATTGGACCTAGGTATAGATGAAGTATACATATAGAATTCCAAATCAAGTCAAAGCAAGTCAAAGCAAAGCAACTCAAGTCAACAGACGGATGGTTGTTTATCTTAGATCGTTACTAACCCTGTCAATTAATTAAGTAAGGCCCGAGACCGGGGTTGTTAATTTTTTTATCCTTTCTTTTATTTTCTTTCATTTTTTTGTTTATTTCTATGTTTATTTTTTCTTTTTTTTCTTTTTTTTCTTTTTTTTCTTTTTTTTCTTTTTTTTCTTTTTTTTTATTATCATAATTTGACATTGACAACGCAGCTCCGGGCACGGATATAGTATGATATGATATGATCTCCACTCCTCTTCTCATTTCTTCTTCTTCTTCTTCGCCTTCTCCTTTCCCTTCAGTATCATTTCCATCGCTAGGGAATGTACGTGTCATCAACTCGATGAATATACAATGCATATGCATTTGTGGTGTGATGTGATATAGTTTTTTCTTAGTCTTCGTCATTAGAATTGGACTGGATTTTGATTAATATTTGGATCGTCATTCATTAATTGTTGAGGTGTATTTATTGGATTGGAGAAGGAGTCGTTCTGATATGATATGATAGTCCTGATATTAGGGGTAGTAGGTCGTAGAGCTATCGCCATGACGATACTTCTGATAACTTCCGCTTCTGGTTCTGAATTTTTTTTTCTTCGTCTGTGAGAATAATAACAGCAGAGCTGATTATCTTGTTTCCTTGCAGATGTAAACCAGACCTTCCGTTATTATTCAAAATGACCATGACGGTGTCTATACCCCTGGCCGTGGCTGTAATTAGTCCTGACGAGACAGACGTCTGGGAGAAAGGACCTGATGGAGAGAGACTACGCAAGTCAAGTCTCCTCTACTGTAGTTGTAGTTGTAGTTCTTGTAGTGGCGGTTGCTGCTGCTGCTACGCCATCGACGGCCGGGACTCGTCATCTGCATGACCACGACCGTGAGTCTGACTCTGGCCGAGACTGAGACTGGAGCAGGAGCAGGAGCTGATTTTCCACAGTCGAGTCGATCCATGACAAGGACCTCTGTCGATCTGTCTATGCTCATCACTAAGACATACACATACCTAAACAAAAAAAACATCTGACAGAGCAATTATGCATGTATGCTCATGCGTATGCGTATCTACAGTCCAGGGTCCTGCCAGGGAAACAAACAAACCAATTTCGCCATTCTCGTACCGCTCCTCCGCCCTCCGCACGCGGAAGAGAATATCTCGTTTAGAATCTCCAATCTCTCGACTGGCACAACTCGTCGTTGCACACTGCGCGTGGCCTCTTGTAGCAGGTCGGTCGACAGTGACGTTGCGCGAAGGATGTGTACCAGGAGACGGACTCTTTCTGCGGGACATTTACATCTTAGCGTTAATAGAAGAAAAGTAGCGAAAAGAAAAAAAACAAGGCTCGTCATATACCAGTTTTCTTCAAGTGATCCGGCTCCCGATGCGTCACCCCTGCCCTGTCAGCCACCATGCCGGCTTGGTCTGCTCTGGATCGCCCTTAGTCCCAGTCCCGCTCCCATCGGGCCCTGTCTTCTTCTTCTTCCCCCCGTTGTACAGATATCGCGCTTGCTTCTTCGGCTCGACGGCCTTGACGAATGAATGAATGCTTTGGCTATCAATTAGCCGGCAGTTAGTCAGCTCGTCCCGGTTCTGGAGTTTGATTGATGCTCCAGACGTTAGCGCTGTCGGCACTGTCGGCGTTGGTGGTGCGGTTGATTCTGTTGCTGATGCTGCTGGTTGGAGCTGTGCTGGCGCTGGAAAGGTCTGTTTTTGGACGTCCTGCGTGTACGACAGGGTTCCCTGGATTTGGATTTGCGCGAAGAAGCTTCGAGCCGAACGTAATTGTTCCTCTAGTCACTGGTGCGGTCGTGACAGCTGCTGATGGTTGTTGCAGTGTTTGACGATAGACAGGCAGATGGTAGCTCTGGTCAACAGAGGGAGCATGATATAACCCACGCACGATCAACTGCTGCCGTTGCCCTGCGATACAGAAGTTAACAAATGGAAACAGCATCACACGACGAGAACCAAACCTGGTAGTAAATGCATGCATCAATCGAGTACCTAGTCGACGGATCAAGTCCATAGCATGGCTCTGAGGAGGAGATGTGCTGTCACCTTCCCGTCTGTGGATCGGTATGGACATATGTCCTCGAGGGAATGAATATAGTCATCTCCGGAACTAGCTAGTTCACCATCGAGCTCTGTCGATGTCTGCTGTCCATTCCCGATCTAGGAGTCCGATGGATCGACTATATATACCTAGGTAAATGCATGTCAGGCAGAGAGAACTACCAAAGGTAGTATATAATATATGTATTCAAGATGTCTAAATAAGACAAGACAGTATGTGTGTGTGTGAGCATACCCATCGCTCCGTGGCATACAGCGCCTGGCCTTGATATTGATATTGGAACTGGTAATCGTTTCCGTTTCTGTCTTCCACCTCCATTTGCTCCATGGATTTTTAGCAGAGAACTAGGTAATTATCCAACAAAACAGAAGTGGCTCGATAGCTAGACTAGATCACAAACAGTGATGCACTTCAGCAAACGATCCCGCTATAGTTAATACTGTACACATAAATTAAGTCAATGATCAAGCCAACGAACGTAGCAGTCAACAGACGAGCTGAACGTACTACCAGGCCTGGACCAGCCCGTAGGTACAGTACCTAACTCAGCAAGTACCTGAATATGCAAATCTGAGTTAGGTATGCGTTTAGCGTCAACATTCATGCAAGGTCGATGCAGCAATAAGCGAGCATTGCATAGGGGGGTGATGGCGCAGTGTATGTACCACACACCAGTTTTACTGAGTTGGTAGTTGGAGACAGGATGCCCACGAGCCTTGGCACAGGCATAGTATATTTAATATTTAAAAATATTCCTCTTTTTTGCTTAGAAGAACAAAGGATTTAATTAAAGATATAAATAAATATCTTACTTTATAAGCTGTTATTATTAAACCAAAAAAAAAAGTAAAAAGTAAAAAAGTAAAAGACTACCTTGTATGTACTGTACTATATGTTAATATAGAATATTTATAAAAGTTATTTATATATTAACTATTTTTTTTTAACAAATGTCTCTAGATAGTCTAGAATACTTTATTTGCCCTTATTTTATTGCTGCGAATCACACAGCACGGTAAATTTATAAACGACATTAAAAACAAGGACCCTGGACGGAATACCAATCCCCAATCCAAATCACAGCAGCAGTAAAAGTGAAATGAATCATGTCAGACAGACGCGTCTGTTTAAAGCTTCTCAGACCAGAGCATCAAGGTAGAGAGAGAAAGAACCATTACCTGCAGAACCATTGATGGTCTGTACTGTACATACATACATGTATATACACTACCACAGGTGGCTGGCTGACACAGAGCATGGATGACCGAGGAAGACCGGACGGAGTAAATATTTCTGTTGGCTGGACGAGCCGAATTTAGTTGATGCCGTGAAGAAAATAAATAATTGCCTTGATAGGAAGAGCTTAACTGAATCTGTAAAGTAAGAAAGTAGGTTAAACTGACCCAGATCCATATCCTGATCCATCTCCAGACCCAGATCGATCAATCGAAGAATCTCACTCATCTCGAAATCAACGAGAGCATCACCGAGGGAGTCCAAGCAAGCCCAGCCCACGCACGCGATTTGATTATTCACTGGCCAGCGACTCAGCCATAGCTATAAATTATCCTCTATCCTCCTCAGACCATACCATGCCAGAATTTAGCTAAAAACAGCTCGATATATACCAGTTTTTTTTTTTTTAAAAAAAAAAAGAGACTTTTCTCATATTAAGGGTTTCTTCCTATCATGCATACAGTATGCATGCGTCTCGATTACTTACTTACTTGCTTACTTGGAAAGAAAGGAAATGAAACGGAGGGGGAAAAAAAGAGGGACGAGTGTGATGTATGCATTGTATATATGTCCAGCTTCTGCAACAAAGCTTAGTAGACGGGAAATACATGAACAGGATCTCGTCTCAGCAGTCTGACTGCACTGACTGCAGTGTAGCCGACAAAGTGCCTAGCACATACTGTTGTACAGTACAGTACAGCTCCTGCAAGACTAATTAACTAATCCATATACCCAGGCTGGTGATTTTCTCCTCCTCCTCCTCCTCCTTCTTCTGCAGCAGCAAGTAAACAAGACAAGACAGGACAAGACAGCATACACCTCGAATAAAAAATATACCTAATAATCACAGTATGTATGTACATACATACATACACAGTTCAACTTCCAAACCAACAATCCAGTCCATAACGACCACCCTCACACTTATCAATCATATCCCATCATATCAATCATATCATATCAATCATCAATCATACCATATAATGTCAATGTCATTTAATTAATTAATTAAATTACAGAGAATCCCCACTAAGATCAGTACAGATCAGCTAGCAACAATAACAACAACAACAACAACAACAACAACAACAACAACAACAACAACAACAACAACAACAACAACAACAACAACAACAGACAGACGGTAATTTAATTTACTTGGGTGTTTGTTTGAATAGAATAGAATAGAATAGAAGAAGAAGAATTTTCAATCAAGCCAGATCCTGTCTATCTATCTACTACGGAGTACCTTACGGAGTACGTATGGAGTACGTATGGAGTACATATGGAGTACGGAGTACGTACAGTACGGACAGACGAATGGAAGAGGGAAACAAGGAACATAGCTTGTCCTTGTCAGATCTGATATCTGATATTCAAAAGTCCAGAGTAGTAGTGTAGTGGGTTTGTATTAATACATATTCAGCACTGATACTAGGTACTAGGTAGGTACTATCCCTTGCAAATCACATATACCTCTACCAGTCAGGAGCTACAGAGCCAAGCCCACTGTCGTCAACTCGTATACACCTACACTACACTACATCACATAGCTAAGTAGATTATCTTACCATTGACAGCTGATCCATCCATCTACCTTGACTACAATCTACAAGCCTACTCTACAAGCCTACTCTACTGACATACAACTACTCTACTGATATACACCCTACACTTTATCAATGACATCAACAAAGGAAATACATTGACCAGCTGTAGTCGAGACTCTATTTTTTTACTTACACATCAGATCATATTGAGGGAAATCATATTGTGGGAATTCAGTACAGCAATCAACGGCCGCGGGAGAAAGTAGCTTAGCTTGGTCCGGTTCACCCACTTCCGCCGGGTTAAGCTCCTTTCCTCGTTTTAAATTATTTTTCTCGAAATCCTTTTTCTTTTATACGGGTACTGTACACGCGCTAAAAGAAAACGGAAACCAACGCTTCAACACAAAAGAAAAGGAGCAAAGACTGGTAGGATTTACATCGTTCACGACTTGCTCTCCAGCTCAGCCAGGATCTTCTCACCCTTGGCACGGGCCGAGTCAATGTCACCAACCATGTAGAAGGCAGCTGTACAAGTTAGCAACTGACCTGGGAAAAGAAGAAAGAAGAAGAAGCTTACCCTCAGGAAGGTCATCACACTCGCCGTTGATGATGGCCTTGAAGCTGCGGATCGTGTCCTTCAGGTCGACGAGCTTGCCCTCAATACCCGTGAAGACCTCGGCAACAGTGAAAGGCTGGCTCAGGAAACGCTGCAGCTTACGGGCACGCTCGACGGTGAGCTTGTCGGCCTCAGACAGTTCGTCCATACCCAGAATGGCAATGATATCCTGGAGGGACTTGTACTCCTGAAGCATCTGCTGGACACGGGTGGCCACCTCGTAGTGCTCCTGACCGACGATACGCGGGTCAAGCATACGAGACTTGGAGTCGAGCGGGTCGACAGCAGGGTAGATACCCAGCTCAGAGATACCACGAGACAACACAGTCGTGGCGTCCAAGTGGGCGAAGGTCGTGGCAGGGGCAGGGTCAGTCAAGTCGTCAGCAGGCACGTAGACGGCCTGGACGGAAGTGATGGAGCCCTTGGTGGTGGTGGTGATACGCTCCTGCATGGCACCCATGTCGACGGCCAGGGTGGGCTGGTAACCGACGGCAGAGGGAATACGACCCAGCAGGGCAGACACTTCGGAACCGGCCTGGGTGAAACGGAAGATGTTGTCAATGAAGAGAAGCACTAAAAAGTCAGTAGCCATCCTAATAATTGTCAATAAACTACGACATACCGTCCTGGCCCTCCTCGTCACGGAAGTACTCGGCAATGGTCAGACCAGTCAGGGCAACACGGGCACGAGCACCCGGGGGCTCGTTCATCTGACCGAACACCAGCGCGACCTTGGAGTCACCCTCGAGCTGAATGACACCGGTCTGCTGCATTTCGTGGTACAGGTCGTTACCCTCACGGGTACGCTCACCGACACCAGTGAACACAGAGTAACCACCGTGGGCCTTGGCGATGTTGTTCTACGCGATGTTAGGTGCATCCAACACACATTGAAGGACTTATCCTGGGCGCTTACAATCAGCTCCTGAATGAACACGGTCTTACCGACACCGGCACCACCGAAGAGACCAATCTTTCCACCACGGGCGTAGGGAGCAAGCAGGTCGACGACCTTGATACCGGTCACCAGAATCTCGGCAGCGGTCGACTGCTCAGAGAACGACGGCGGGTCGGCGTGGATAGGAGCGTACTTGGTAGCCTTGACAGGACCACGCTCGTCAATGGGGTCACCAGTGACGTTCAGGATACGACCAAGGGTACCAGGGCCGACGGGGACCTTGATAGGAGCGCCAGTGTCGGTGGCAGGCTGACCACGGGTGAGACCCTCGGTACCTACATCACGTCAGTTTGGCATGCACTCAACAGCCGTCTAGCGGTCAGCAGGGCAAACCACGTACCGTCCATAGCAATCGTACGGACGACATTCTCACCCAAGTGTTGCTACCAAACAGTCAGCAATGTCCATGTGGTATCATCCATGAGTTTAACTGGGTACATACGGCAACCTCCAGCACGAGCTTCTGGCCATTGTTGTCGGTCTCCAGGGCGTTCAGAATCGGAGGAAGCTGCTCAGTGTCGAATTTCACTGCATGCACGCATCAGATAACACATTCCTCAGTGCAATTGAGGCACTTGGCGCCGGTGTTCAACGGGTGTTGGGCGCAGGGAAAAGATTTTCCTCGGGCCCCGTCTTCCACAGCTCGCCAAGCCCCAAGAAAGAACATCAAACGTGTTACGGAGGAACATACCGTCGACGACGGCACCGATGACCTGGTGGATTTTGCCGACGCGACCAGCCTCAGTGCTGGCGTACCGGGCAGAGAGCGCAGACAGGGCATTGGATCGGAGAGGCTCGAAGGCGCGTCGAGCAACAGGGGTAGGTCGGGCAAAGGCAGCCCTCCCGAGGGTCCGGGCGAGGCCGCTGGAGCAGAAACAGTAGTCAGTAGACGGCAGGGGAGGCCAAAAGCAGGGGAATGGGGAGGCATTGAGTGTCTTACTCACCTCTTGAACATGCTGACGGTGTTTAAGAGCGAGGGGATGGGAGGGGGGAGTGAGAGATGGAAGAAGGCAGCTTGCCGGAAGAGAGGAGAGAAAAGGAAAGGGACGGGGAAGAAGAGGTTGAGGCTGGCTTAAGGTGCCCTCGGAGACTTTGCACGCCGCTTTGCCGTTTTGGGACGGTTTTGCCGACCCTCCCGTGATCCGCCGAGCCGGCACAGCAACCAGCCCAAGCGATGCCAGAGCAACTGTTGGCACGACAGCTAAGCCATTGTACAGCTTGTAAATAGAAACAAATGCGTAGATTCAGTGTACTGACACAGTTCTTATGAATAGCGTTGCATACTTTGGCGGTGTTGCGCCGACAGGCCGCCCGTAGAAACTGGAGGAAAAACGGAAGCGATATCAGCCCTGCCGAGGATTCCTGCGCCAAAAAAAGAGCGCATTACACACCGACGCCATAGGACATGTTTTCGATACAGACAACACCGATATTTCTAGCTCTGGGTGTAGAATACGACTGAGATTTCAATGTGCCACATGGTGGAAAGTGCAAAGTGCCTGTCAACGATACTCTGCCAATTTGTGCTCCAATTTGTGCGAATATAATTTTAACATGTCTTGTTCTGGCGTCAGTAGTTTCCAAGATGAACACCGCCTAAACGTCTCAACAGGACTTACAGCAGCATAGAGGACGACTTTCTATCTACAGGAAACCTTAATTGAGAGGCCAATGGCTCGTCAAATGTGAATTAGCCGTCCCTGAGTGCGTTCATCGTCTGCTGCATTTATTGAGGACATCCAAAGAAAACATTGATTTTTCCCTCGAGCATGTACTCTACACGGCAGATACTTATAGAATGACACACAGCACATTACAGCTACAAAGGAAATCGATTGATGATGGCATAGTACGTAGTAGTACAAGATTCGATCGAGTAGCATAGACAGAAGGAAGGAAAAAGGTGTTAAGAGACAGTGAGACAGCGTTGAAGATAATAAAAACATTGGTACAGAGTGGCTATGCCTATCTCTACCTTCTACCTTCCATTCAGCACGCTTCCAATCCAATTTTCCAATTTATTGAGTCTTAGCCGGGCCGCTCTGCACGTAGCCGCGGCCAGAGTAGCCTTCGCTGCTGATACCGGTGATAGGCTCGATCTTCTCTCTCTGTTGAAAGAACACGGGTCAGCATTGAAAAAAAAAAAGATATGGCATTTGACGCACCTTCGCATATTCATTGCTAGCCTCCTGCCACTCCTTGGTCATCGTGCGAGGCGGGTCGCGAGCAAACGCACGGGTGATAGCAAACAGCGTGAGAGACACAGCGAAGAGCTGTGCCACCTTGATCAGGATCTTCCAACCCTCGCCCTTGGGGGGCTCTGCACGGGGACCGTGAGGTCCGAATGCGATCCAGTAGGCTAGCCAGCCGTCAGCGACAAGCAGACGATTATTCGGTTCTGATGCAGTGATACGTACCGGCCTTCTTCTCCTGCAGGGTCAGGTCGTGCCAGTCGGCCTTCATGCGATCCCGCAGCTGCATCCACAGCTCGGCCTGTTCCTGAGGAGGCATGGACTCCCAGCGCTGCTCGATGCCGGACAGCACGGGATTGGCGATGGCATGCTCAGACGACGCGAAACGGGTTTGCTGCGAGGCCAGCAGCTTGCTCTGGATCTGCGAACGGGCATTGACACAGGCCATTGGCGTGGTCGAGGACCGGACAGCCGGGCTGAAAGAGCTGCGAGCAGCAGCTCGAGCAACGGAGCGAAGGAACATTGTGCGAGACGAAAAAGACGCTCAAACGAGGAATTGAGTGACACAGGCGGCCGCAAGAGTCAGTACCGCAGTCCTCGAGGACGGGACTCGAGATGGCGAGTGGTCGAGAGCGGAGAGGAGAGGGGAATGACGCGGACCAAGAGTCGAGGTGGTGAGCGAGGAGGTTCTCTTTCCGAGCGAGTGGTGGTTTGAGGTGGAAGTCTGGGCATCCGGCTTGAGCAGCGTCGGGTCTTTTGCGCGCTGCTGATTGGGCCACCGGACGGCCCGCTCGGTCAGTCCCGACACACGGCGATGTCTCGGAGAAACACCTATCGCTGAGCATCATGCCATATCCTCTTCTCTCTTCAGTAATACTGATGCCTCTTCATTAATAATGATGCCCTAGGCATGCCTCAGTGACTGCCATCTGCTGACGCTTGTTTACAGGCTACACACCTCCGAGAGGTTCTTGCTTACATAATACGAGGACAGATTGCACCGGTTTACGAGCGGACATGAGCAGAGAGAATCCAAAGCAAAATACAAACATCCAACAATACAACGAAGTGCCTGTTCAGTCAGGTGGCTGAATTCTAACTCGATTCATTCAAAGTGCATGTTGATCTTCGTTACCCTCTGCAGTGAACACGGATACGGGAATGAAATTGCCTCCGCTAAGACTGGGAAAGGAACCTCAATTCGAAAGCTATGGATGGAGGGGTCCCAATGCATCGGTCGTTCGTCTCAGGCATCAGGATATCTCCAAGGCGCGGTTTGATTTTTCATGCAATGCAGACCCCCGCGTCGCCTGCCCCTTTTCTCCGGAACCAGCCGGCATGAGTCGTCTATTTGCCAGCCTTGCCGCCGCTGGCCTCCGCCAGAACAGTCTTCCACTCAATGTCAGACTTGTCATCGGCGTGGATCGAGGTGTGGATGTTCAGCGCATTCTTGAGGTTCTCCCGGGTGCTGGCGTAGAGCATGGACCACTGTGGATTGGTCAGTCGCGGTTGGCCTGTGAAAGACAAGCGAGGCTACTTACGAAGGTAGGGGTGTCGCTAGGGACCCAGGAAATGAAGACGATCTTGTTTCTGCACGTAGAGTTAGCGTGGGTCTGCGGAGGAGGAGGGTTTTTTTTTTTCAGCCGTACCTCTTGCCCTCACCACCTCCGAGTTCGTACTCAACATCGTAGACGGCGTACCGGGGAGCGGGGCTGCCCTTGGAGTCCTTGGCCGCCTCGAGCTTGCTCCGGAACACCTCGTAGTCTGGGTCCTGCGAGATCTCGTCGATGACGATTTCCTTGCGGTTGTCGGCGATCTTGAAGATGATGAACTTGGTCTTTCCCCGGCTCATGCGGAAGTCGTTGAATGCCGTGATGCACTCATCATTGATCGAGACTCTGGAGTCGGCTGCCCGTCAGCGTCGGAAGGATCGCAGGAGCGATAATTTCACGATGCACGAGGAATCGAGATGGAAGGAGGTGCATGTGCGTGTCAATGCAAAGCGGCGGACCTACCCTGAAGCAAGCTGCATTACTCATTGGTCAGTCCAATTTTTCCAGAAAAGCGATCAGAAAGCGAGGCGATACGCACCGACATGATTGCCTACGTGGAGGATGCTTTCTTTGAGGCGAGTTTCAAGCGGCAAACTGAAAGAAATCAGCGAGTCAGCGGCCAGAGTCCGGAGGCGCAGCGGATGCAAATCGCTTGGCCGGGTGAGGGGTTTTTGCCAGGTGTGCGAGTCAGAGGGGCAGAGACATACAGAGCGGTAGGCAATGACAGAGAGCGTCACGGGTATCTGGGTATAGAGGGGAGGAGGAGATGGAGAGAGTGCGGTCGGCAAGGAGGAGGATTGGGAGCGAGGAAAAGTGGACAGAGAGCGAGACCTGGAGATGGAGGGGTCCGCCAGGCTGTTGTTTGTTTCCCAGCCGGTGGTGGGGGGTCAGCCGTGCCTGCGTCGATCATGACTGGCCGCGCCCCAGCCGTCACGTGAGTCGCCGCAGGCAGACACAGCATTATATTTGCAGTCATCTTTGCAAGCATTATTCAGGATTTATAGAGTCTGGACCAGCCTACGCGAGTAGTATCGAGTGTGTTGCATGCAGTGCCAGGAGAAGAAAGAGAGTGGCATATTCTTTCCGCAGCACGCCGGACAGCACGTGGGTTCGTCACGGTTACTCGACAGGTATCCTGAATAATTGCTTGCAGGTTCTAATACAATTGTATACAACTGTAATATCAGAGAGACGTCCAGATAAAGCCAGTGCTTTTCTGCAGAATAATATGGCCTAGTACGAGTACATTTAACGGAACCGTGGGGTAAAAAACGTGACAGAATTGTCTGAGTTTGGATCGCTTATCCTCCAGTGAGCGTGCCGTGCAACGGTCGGAGCTTCACCGGGACGAAATATGGAAGAAGATGGGATAGAATAATGTCTCTGTTGCCGTGGATATCGACCGACATCAAGCCAGAATCAATCCTCCTCCGAACTCCCCGTACGCTGCGGGGACGGGAGGGGCCTTTACTAATCCCCCTCAAGTTTCAACACAAGCGGTCCCCAGTCGTCATTTCGCTTCTCCCTGGCATCATCGCCTGGTAATCTTGTCTTGTATATATAAGGGAGGTCCTGGTCGCGTTGCTTCATTGATAATTCTGATCTGTTTTATTTTGTGCATATAGATTGTCGACAAGTCTCCCACCATGGCCTCGCCCAAGATCATCCTCTATACCAACCACTCCTGCCCATGGGCGCATCGTGCCCATATTGCTCTGAAGGAGCTGGGTCTGCCCTACGAGGAAGTTATCATCGACTTGGACACTCCTCGAGAGCCATGGTACCTCCAAGTGAACCCGGTATGGCAGTGTGCGGCACAGTACTTTCTGACATGTGGAGACTGACCAAGTATATTCTTATTCCAGAGAGGTCTGGTCCCTAGCCTCTCATACAACGGCAACATCATCACCGAATCCGCCATTGTCGCGCAATTCCTGGCCGATGCCCACCCGTCGCACCTGCTGCCCCCATCCAACTCGACCGAGAATGCCCTGTACCGCGCCCGCCTGGCTTTCTTCGTCGATGCATTCTTTAGCAAGGTGATTCCGCACTTCTGGGCCGGCGTGCGCGCGGCCTCGGCTGAGGAGAGAGACGAAGCGGCACAGGCCTTGGTTGGTGCCGTGACTAAGGAGATTGAGCCTTTGCTGGAGGAAGGAAAGGGGCCGTTCTTCGGAGGCAGTGACCGCTTGACTCTGGCAGAGGTGTGTATTCCTTTCAAAGACGAACGGACCCATCCCGCAGTGTAGGGCTCACGTCTCTGACTTGTCGTCAGGTTCTGACCGGCTCGTTCCTTCTCCGCATCACCTCCTTCAGCAAGCCCGAATACGGCCTGCTGAGCGCCAAACTGCCCAGTCTCCTGGACCAAGTGCCCAAGTTCAAGCGCTGGGCCGAGGCGACGGTCCAGCACCCGAGCGTGAACTTCATCTGGGACGAAGAGAAAGTCGCGACGAGGACCAAGAAGAAGTTTGCCGCCAAACCGTAGGTGGGCACCTGAGCATGAATAAGCAGAGTGTCCATCTCACACGTAGCAGGAATAATTCCGGACGGCTGTGAGTGGACTATTTCAATCGGCTGGGGGTGGATATTCTTGTATTTGAGTCTTCGACTGTACATACATACATACAATGGACACATTGGTTGTCTCTTATGAACATAAATCTTAATGACATTTATATATATATATATATATTGCTCCACAGTCACAGTCACAGTGTAGATGAACATTCACAGAGACCATCTCACTAGCACAGCCAATACCGCAGAAAACATATCGTATCAGTTCAATGATTTTTTTTTCTTGGGTTTCTGCTCTGATATTCCGTCTAAGATCCGGTTTCCTTTCCATCCATGCCGATATATATGTGTCGTAACCGGTTTCGGTTGGATACCTACCTACCTAATTCCCCGATCATTACAAAAAAACTAGGTAGAATCAGGAAATCCCAGTTTTTGTAGATCAGGCTGAACGTCTCATATTTTCCTGTGGACTTTACTTATACTCTTTCTCAGTATCCAAAGATATCCAAAGATTATAAAGTAAGTAGAACTGAACTGAACGCCATGTAATCGACGGCCTCGGAGGCATGTCTTCGATGTAGACATACGATTATGTCTATAGATTACCCAAACGTTAGAAAAATACAATTCCTGACCATGGTCCTTAAATACGAACAGCTGAGCTGAATCTTGAAAATTGCTCAATTGCTCATCACTGCATTATCAGACGTTGCCGTCAACAGATATTACGCCTGGACGACTAAAGTACATGACTATAGTACATACAGCGGGACTCCGGATAGTTTTTGCTCTTCTTCTATGCCCGTCAAAAAATGATTCGAGAGTGGAGATGTGATGTTGGCGGTGGTGATGATGGTGCGGAAATTCCCGCAGAGAGAGAAGGTGGAGGTAGGATAGGTAGGTCATGTTTCGAGTGAGAAATTCAGGAGTAACACATCAGGTGAAGGTGAGAGATTAAGACATCCGAAAGATTACAACAAAATTGTCATAGTATGCAAGACACGCTCGAAGGGAAACATCCATCGAAATGGGCGAAAACAGGATACTGAGCAGGAGGACAATGTTCGTGAGAGCTCTTTAGAACATGCCACCGCCCATGCCGCCCATGCCGCCCATACCGCCACCCTGGGCGGCCGGGCCCTTCTCCTCAGGAGCCTCAACAATGGCGACCTCGGTCGTTCCCAGCAGCGAAGCAACTCCGCTGGCGTCCACCAGGGCGGTGCGCACAACCTTGAGCGGGTCAAGGATACCCGCAGAGATCATGTCGACAAACTCGCCCTTGGAGCTGTCGAAGCCCTTGTTGAAGTCGTTGGCATACTCGTCAATGAGCTTGCCAACAATGACGCTGCCCTCCAGACCAGCGTTCTCAACAATGGTGCGAGCCGGACGGGTGATGGCGTTCTTGATGATGTTAATACCCAGCTGCTGGTCGAAGTTGGCGCCCTTCACGTCGTTAAGGCCGTTGGCAGCAGCCTTGAGCAGGGCAGTACCACCACCAGGCAGGATACCATCCTCAACAGCGGCACGAGTAGCGTTCAGCGCATCCACGACACGGTCCTTCTTCTCACCAACCTCGACCTCGGAAGCGCCACCAACTTTGATGACGGCAACACCACCGGAGAGCTTGGCCAGACGCTCCTGGAGCTTCTCCCGCTCGTAGTCGGAGGTAGAAGGATCATTCATAACGCCGCGGATCTGCTCGCAGCGCTGGGCGATGGCGTCCTTGCTGCCCTCACCGTTGAGGATGATCGTGTCCTCCTTGGTGATGGTAATGGAGCCAGTGGAACCCAGCTGGTCAGGGGTGAGCTTGTCCAGCTTGAGGTCAAGCTCATCCGTGAAGACGGTGGCGTTGGTCAGGACACCAAGGTCACCCAGGATGTTCTTGCGGTTGTCACCGAAGCCGGGGCCTTGACCGCCGCGACCTGAACCTGGCCACGGAGCTTGTTCAGGATGCAGACGGCAAGGGCCTCACCCTCAATGTCCTCCGCAATGATGACCAGAGGACGGCGGAGCTGCGTGGAGGCCTCCAGAGCCGGGATGATATCCTGCACAGCCGAGATCTTCTTCTCGGAGAGCAGGATCAGGGGCTTCTCGAACTCAACCTTCTGGGACTTGGGGTCCGTGATGAAGTAGGCGGACGTGTAACCCCGGTCAAAGCGCATACCCTCCGTAACCTCCAGCTCATCCTCGATCGTCTTGCCCTCCTTGACGGTAATGACACCCTCCTTGCCGACCTTCTCCATGGCGCTGGAGATGAGCTTGCCAATGTGCGTGTCACCGTTGGCGGAAATGGTGGCCACCTGGGCAATCTCCTCGGTGGTGGTAATGTCACGCTTGTTGGCCTTCAGGTACTCAACAACGGCGTCAACCGCAGCCTGGGTGCCGCGACGCAGGTCCATCGGGTTGCAGCCCGCAGCGACATTCTTGACGGTCTCGGAGAAGATGGCACGAGCGAGGACGGTGGCAGTGGTCGTTCCGTCACCAGCAATCTCATTGGTCTTGGAAGCAACGTCCTGCAGCAGACGAGCTCCCAGGTTCTCGAACTTGTCCTGGAGGGAAATGGCCTTGGCCACAGTCACACCATCTGCAGCGGTCAGCACCTAGGTCATGATCACTACAAGCCGCGACGCAGAGCAGAAAAGACAATTGTTGGTGACGGGATATAAGCATACCCTTGGTGATCTTCGGCGAGCCGTAGCTTTGCTCAATCAAGACATTGCGACCCTTGGGACCAAGAGTCGAAGAAACAGCCCGAGCAAGGGTGTCGACACCCTTCAGGAGCTGAGCACGTCCCTCGACACCGAATTTGAGCTCCTAGCAGCTGTGAGTCTCCGCAACACCAACCACGGTGACATGTACACCCGTCGCTGAGGCACGTACCTTGTGAGCAAATCGCTGTTGTTGCAGGCTGACGCCGGAAGTTCTGAGCTTGGAGAAAGGAGCCCGGGACAGGGCGGAAGTCCTGGACGTGAAAGCTCGCTGCATGTTGTCTGCAGAGGAAAACAGAGAGAATTAACTGAGAGGGATGTCGTTAAACAAGAAGAAAAGAACAAACAAGCAACCCTATCCACCCAGACCGGGACGCCCAGAGAAATTGAAGTGCAGAGGAAAGAGAATTGGGAGAGGAAGGGGAGACGGAGGTGAAGATGAAGCAAATTTTCCAGGCGATTCGAGATTCCCCGGATGGCTTGGCGGAGAAGCGCCTAGAAGGAGAGCTCGGGTCACGTGGTGCGGTGAGCTGGACGGCAGCCCGACTGCCTAGGTAACCGGCTATGCTCCGAAGAACCGAATATTCTCATTGCTCGTCTCGTATAGATCAGTCTGAAAGAGGAAAGCAAAGCCAATTTTGTCTAATGTACTACTGGTTCGTGGCCAAGGATCTGCTGAAACGCTCCGCCCCTTCATCCAACCATCCAACCCTGCGTCGACCATCTCTCCCCTTCCCAAAGCCTTCGTCCCTTCAACATCCACCGAATCCAGTCCAGCCCAACAGGAGATAGAAAAACACTAAAAGCCTTATGAATGTGGAATGACTGGTCACTAGGTCCCAATGAAATGCTCAGTGCTCTCTGCTAATCCAGGCGTAAGGCACAATCAAGCCAATTCCTCCTCCGTATTGCCATCCCAACCCAACATCATCTCGAGGCTTCATCCGCCAAAGTCGACGTGACCTCGAGATCTTTGTCGGCCATACCAGACGTCTTCTCGAGCGTTTCATCCACCAAAGATGTCTCCTCGGTGGTTTCATCGCCTGAGAACCACGTCAACTCACCCAATCCCCATAGGGATGCACCACGTCTTCCTCCGTCAATTCCTCCATCAGATTGTAGCACTTACCCGGTGGTAACTTGGCGTGCTGGTCAAGATCTTCTCTGATACGAATAAGGCGGTTCATGTCCAGCATATTGCCCTTTTCGATCTCTCGGTCCAGTTGCATGACTCGGAGGTCCAGAGCGTTGAAATTGCTGTGCTGCTCACGGAGCGGCTCAGGATCAGCCGCCTTGTCGGTCAAAAAAGTATGGATCTTGTAGTCGTCATTCGGGTCTGTGATATGCAGGGTGGGTGGAAGATTCCAGTGCGGCTCAAAAAAGTAGGGAAGTTCCCTATGTGCCGCCATGTACTCCTTGTACTCTGGGCGCTTCCTCTCATGTTCTCTGCTTTCCGGATATGTCTCTTCACGCGCATTGTCCAGGACCCGATTGAACAGCAGTGCAGGTTCACAGTTTTCCTCTCGCAGCCAGGCAGCAGGGATCACAGTTTTCGGAACCGGGGGCACGCCGGGGATACGAGGATCGTCACGGTCATACTGCCTCAGGATAACATCACGGGGCCATTTACCAGCTGTAAGGTAGGGTTGCAGCGGATTGTTTGGGTCCCGGACTTTTGGGACGGGTTTAACGTATCCCTCCTCATCGTATATACTTTCTTCCCACGCATCAGCCCCCGACGGAGGAGGAATTGAGCCCTCGGCGGTAGTCTGGTAGCCCATACCGTTTCCACTGAAGTATCCAGCGGCCTCGTCCATACTCAGGCCCGCTACGTTGAAGTCTTCAGCAGCCTGATCCTTGCTGGGACCGCTTCCGTTGGCGTATCCAGCATTCTGAGACGCGTCTTCGTTCACAGCGTTTTTGGGATCCCCGGATTTCTCGTTATCAATGGAGAACGACCCATCATCTGGAACCAATGTGGCGTTATGACGCCCGTAACGAAGGATGACAATTTTGGACGGCTTCTCCCGAGCAACATCGTCTTCGGACGGACTGGCACTGCGGGAGGAGTGCTTGTCGCCGGGGAAGTTGAGAAATTGGGCTCCCACAGCCAGTAGCTCATCATCGCCGTCTTCAGCATGGTCTGAGTCCGGCTCAGTGTCAACATCAAGCTTGCGCCTCTTGCGCGACTTTTTCTTGCCGGATTTCTTGGATCGGCGCCGACTCCCGTACTCTTCGCTCTCGTCAGAGGTCTCATCCACCACGGGGATATCTTCTTCATCGGAAGAATCAGCTGCCTTCCTGGCTTTGGTCTTGGTCTGTTCTTTGGGAGACGATGCTTCAGCAGATCCCTTCGTGGGCGAAGTGGATGTACTGGATGCCTTGGCTGCACTTCCACTCCCTCCACGACGAAGGGGAGGAGGGACTTGCTTGTTACTGGCAACACGACGGCTGCGGAGCTTAGCTAGATGCTGCACGATCGCCCCCTCAGACACATTATTGCCCATAGCCCTCGCGACATCTCCCCACGGGATTCGGACGCCCTGTGCATTGCACACGGACTGGACCGTCAAAAGAAGCAGTTCGTTGAGGTTGTCTACAACAGTTAGTGTATGACAGCAATAGCTACGACAACGACGAGGTATTCAGATAAAATCAAGTATCCTCCAGGGTGCTCATATTCCATAATGTCTACCCAGGCCGTCGAGACAAGTCAAAGAGGAGGCGAAGACTTACCATCCCAGCGCACCAGAGTCCGCTTCTTCGGCCGATTCAAAGCCTTCTTTTCACCCGCCATAGCGTTCGAACTGTTCGAATCCTGTCAGTGATGCCCAGAAGCTAGGCAAGGCACAGCATACCATCAGATGGTAAGGATGACTCAAAAAAAATCAGACTGAATGCCCTGGTGTTCCTGGTTTCTACTGACAAATAGGTAGTGTGACAGTCAGAACACGTACCGTGTGATGTCGTGTGAGTCGTCTGTTGACGTTCCTCTTTGGCCTGGATTTAGTTTAAGTAGACCTGTGTCTCAATCAGACTAACAGACAGCCACCAGTGAGGTGACCTGTGAAAGCACGACCTGGGCTCGGCGTGATGATAGAAAAGACCTGCAGCTGCGGTTCAGTGGAGTGCAACTTGCTAGGGTGAGAAGAGTATATACTGACGTACCTTGGTCCGCATAAGCTCTATAGCCTATAGCCTATGCTCAACAGAAATCAGAGATGCAAAGATGATTAGGTAGTTATGTCAAGATAAGGTTGAGCTGAAGGTGAGGTGAAAGAAGAGTGAGACTTTGTTGACAAAGCTGCAGACCCTTCTGCCCAGCAACTGGTTGTGGGCTAAGCTCCAAGACACCAAGTGAGATTCACTTGAGGTCTGGTTGACAGATTCTTGGCAGGTCTTTGTGAGCCCTCAAAGCTTCAGATTGCACAGGGCTGCCAGATTCTTGGCTGCCAGCTATTAGGAAGGTCCTAAAGCTTTAGTGAGGGCTGACTGTTCTACGTTTGATGGGTGCTATTTACTGTAGTCTTGGATCTTGTTGATGTTGAGACGATAAGTCGCAGGACCTACATTAACTCCGTAAACTCCAGTAATTAGACCTCCTGTCAGTCCTCATTCCTAGGCATGTGATTTGTGAATATTCACTAAATTCTTGTTACTGAGAGTGTCACCTCGTAGGGGAAATTACCAAAATATCTGTGGACGAGCTGCTTCGCCTACGGATATATATTTTGCCCATGTCACGGTCAGCTCCGGTATGTCGAAGCAAGAGGGAGGAAAAGAAAAGCTGCTATCAAAAGTACACTATCTAGGCATTCGGGAGACTTCAATCTAAGTCGTTCGCAAATTTCATACCAATAACAGGCACGTTGATGAACAGTAGCTGTCGCCTAGAAAGAGATGGACTGTTGATACCGGACGTACAGTACATGTAGTTTCTACCTTAATAGCGGGCTGTCATGATGAATCTAGAAAATTACACAGAGAATCAATGCCAAACAAGTGAAAAACCATGCAACTACCTATAACCTAGGTAATCTCGCGAAGGGTGTAGTTGTATACTCTGAAGACGGGATGTTGGCAGTCACGTGTTGCATAACCACGTGACTGCGACACCCGAGTCGACCATCTCCGAGGATTCCCTCCCAAAGCCTTTGACTGCCGAACCGCATCGCTCTTTTTCCCGCCTCGAGACCACCATCTCTGCACCATCAATTCCTCAAGATGACAGCCACTTGGAAAGCTGCCGGTTTGACGTATGTGTTGCTATTGCATTGATCCTGCATCTGCGCCCGTGGCCCATGCAATTGCTGACCGGTGTCACAGCTACAACCGCTACCTGGCCGTCGCTGCCCGCGCGGTCCGCCGATCCCTCAAGGAAGGCCCTCGTCTGCAAGCTGAACGCCGTGACCGGATGGACCTGAAGTTCGCCAAGTGGGAGGTTCGTATCATATCTGCCGTTTTTTACGTCGTTTCGGAGGAACGGATCAAAGAACTGACAGATCGCACCAGAACGGCAAGCAGGGCGAGGTCCAGCAGCTGGGCGCTGCCAACGCGGAGGGCATGGCCGCCCAGGCTGAGTCGAAATAAACCGCTCAAAAACATTGAATGATATGGGTGGAGTGATGAAGTGAGGGATCTGGTCTCTGCCCTCACCTAGGGAGGGGGAACTGATTGTATATCCTGTAGCATACTGCTGGTTTATTTCGCTCTCGACGAACAATAGAGTATTCCTCCTGTTCTTCTTTTCCTGCAGTACTAGTCTTCGTCAATCGTATCTCTCGTATCGTGGATTTTCCCAGTATAGTGTGAGGTCCATAGTCTTGCTAGCAATTACTCAGACTGCGGCAACGCGCTATCCCAACCGCCGAAGCCGCTCTCCGCTGGACCACAATTCCGTAAGTAAATACGCCGGGCAGCAGCCAAGATACTGTCGCGACCTCCACCCACCGGTCAAGAAAGAAAAAGCAACCGGCTGCAAGGAACTACCAACTACCGCGTTCAAAATCATGCTGCCAAATAATGAGGTCCGCCTCCCTCAGCCGCGACTTACCTCGCAGACGGTAGTTCCGCGCGACATCACGGAGCAATTCACCAATGCCGCTTCCAGTGCGTTGATCCCTGAGCTGACGTGTGCTGTCTTTCTTTGCCCTTTGTATCCTCGCGTTCTTTTTTAACAAAAGCTGACTTTTTGTGAATATTAGAATTACGGACCGGCCAGCTCGTCAAGGATGAGTTCTTCACGCTCTTCGAGGCGGTGGGGGCGTTGGAGGTGGGTTATAACATCTGCATTTTCCAGCTCAACTGAGATGCGGGACATGGGCGAACTGATGGTTGTGGTACTCCAGATTATGGATTCCAAGATGGACAGTGGTTATCTAGGTCCTGGTGAAAATCATGCTCAGGCTCTCGAAGACGATTACGATGTGATGCGCGAGCTGCAGCCGCAGGAGGTGCTGGGCGTCATGGACCAGCTTCTCTGCCATGAGGTGTGTCTTGTTCAGATGCACTGACATTTCTGGCCTATACTAATGAATGTTGATCTATTCAGATGGCATGGCATATGGGACATCCGCTCTCACAGACGCTCTTTACCTCCATCTACCTCGATAAACTGCTGTGGCCAGTTCCGAAGACTCTCGACGAGGCTCGCTTCTACCGCCGGGAACAAGAGTACCATGCGGAAATTGAGGAACAGTCTCCGTTGACACACCTGGTATTGCGGGCGTTCTGTCTGGCTTTGGTAAAAGCCTGCGATCTAGTCCACGCACGCGTGACGGCGGAATACTATTACGAGGTTGGCCCAAACTGCTCAATCTCCTGTGGAACGGGCATGTCTGATGCTGTCCAGGAAGAGGATTTTCTGGCTCAGCTCTATAACCGCAGTCTCTTGACGGAATTTGAAATTGAGCCTCTTCAGGAGATCATCAACCAGGCCGTGTCATGGCTCAATGAGCAAGAGGGCAGGGTGGATGTCAACTTGAAGCAGGCTTTAGTAGATCGATTGGAATTCCGGAAACACTTCCTGACGGCCTTGAGTCAGGATATTGATGTGGTGCACACCAGGCTGAAGGAGCCATTCGTCTCTTGCCTCAACCTTGTTTCACCCATCGAGAAGTCAATGTCGCTTGGGACACCAGTCCCAGAGGCCTTTAGCATGAAAATCCAACGCAGACTCGCCAGCACCGTGCCCCCACGGCCCATGGTAACTATAAGCTCTAAGGATGCAATTGACCATCTGAGGCGATTATGTCGAGATGCAATTGACATGCAAGAAATTCTAGATTATTCTAGCTCTTACAACTTGAGGGTATGTACTGTACACTACGCTGGATATAAGAAGCTGTTGGTGTCTAACAGAAACAGGTAGCTGTCTGGATGCTGGTATCTAGGAAGCCTCAGCCAGCGGTGTACATCCGATCGCTTCTCCAGACATTTATCGTCCACGACATGAAGGTTCTCGGTTCTATCCCTGTCAAGCAGTTTTTGTACGATGACCTCGCCGAGCTTGTGCTTCCTTGCAGCACCTTGCTGCGACCGGAAAACGAAGAAGTCGAAGTGCCATCCGATCCACGCTTTCAAATCGTTAGGAGCATGGAAGGCTTTGTCAAGCGTGTGTCTCAGGTAAGACTTGTATGCTGTATGAACCTGACGATGAAGCTGATTGTATAGCCTTTTGTGGATACCTTTCGCACCGCTTGCTTGAACCGATGTCGCGTCCGCCGCGCACTCTGTCACACTATCGTCGATTGGGACAATCTTCAAGTGGAGGTATGATTCCTACTGCCTCTGTTGTGCCAACGCGCTTATCCTTCCCCTGCAGGCCGAGGAACTTGACGCCCATCTTCGGACATTGACTCTTGAGCAACCTCTAATGCTTCACGGAGGCGAGCCAACGTATTCCTACCCTCTCAGCAGCTGGATCTATCATGAGAAGCTTCGTCAGATCCGACTGATCATTCAGATGGGGTTTGAGCTTTCCATATATTCGCCAGAAGAGCTTCCCGGCATGTACTGGTATTTATCTCATATCTGTTCCACCCACCTCTCCCACATTGAGCGGATTCGGACTTTTGTCATTGCCGAGAGCAAGAGAAATGTATCCGCTACGTCGTTGCTTCGCAGAGGGAACAGCAAAGCAGCAGAACGCAAACGGGCGTTTGAGAAGACTCTTACCGTCCTCGACCGCCACACGATGTATCTAATCGCGACCGAGGCTTTCGCTCTTGCTCTCCATGGTCTCTATGCGTTCCTTGCTCGCCATCAGTTGCTCCCAAATGCGGCGTCGAGCGAGGCTTACTCCAGTGCGCGACTTCGCTATGAGCTTCGCATGAAACCTTTTATTCCAATCACGCTCCCTGAACTCGTGCCTTTTGAAGTGTACGAGCGGGAAGCCACGTTGAAAGGTGAAAGCGATGCCGCTGTGCTCGAGCGGGCTACGGCTGCGGTGGGCGAGGCACGCAAGGCTTGGGAGACAGTGCTCGCTCACGGAGCGTTTCTTCCTCCGTTGGAACCAGGGAAGAATCCCAGCACGCCACCTTCGAAATCCGCTGTTGGGGATGATTGGCAACGCGACATCAAGGACACGTTAAGAGCGTGTATTGGCGCTAGCATTGCCATTGGAGCAGTCTCCAAGGCCTTCTCCGCCCAGTCCAAGAAATCGCAGACTGCGAAGGACGAACAATCTTCATCGCTGTCTTTGAAGGTGGAAATCCCAGAGGTGGGCTCCAGCGCACGCTGGCACGACTGGTGGGCAGTGCCACGGATCTCCGAGGCGAATGCGGGTAAAACCTGAGGACTACAGATTATTCTTTTGCTCGATTAACTACGAATTGTCAGACTTGGGCGGCAGAGTTTGTAATTTCGGACCACTTGACTGGATAACCAGCGTCGTCTTTCGGTGGTCAATCAGACTGGTTGTGACCGGTTCAGTCGCCCCTACGGAAACCATCGAGGCGGCCATTTGTGGCCTCGTGAGAAGATCTACTAACAACGATATTATCGTTGAGCTGACACAGCACTGAGGAAGTGCTCTTCAAACCTTGAAAACTGGACCCCATTGGAGTCCGCTGTATCGTTCGCTGCCTCTGGTGGCTTTCTCTCTGGACGAGACATGCGTGTGTTCATTGCCCTAGGCAGCTTTTGCTGTGGAAGGGAAGCGTTGGCAGCCCGTGTGAGAGACTGATAGGAGGATGAAGAGGGCTCTGTCCATGCCCACATTCAAATGGTAATTAGCAAATCGGCTTAGTAACCGCGGGCTCAAACAGGCTCAATCGTCGGCCATCAGCCTGCAATATAGCCAGTTAGGAAACAATGAAGGCTTCAGCGTCGTATCGTGCAGTGTCTTGTCTCGAGGGCCCCATCGGCAGGTAGACTTTTTTGGAGAATTTGTCATGCCGGGGAATTTGTCAGTAATACTAAACGTCCGGTGGATCTCCGCGGTTGTTCGGATTGAAGTCCGTCCCCGGACGACGGAATTTGAAATCACGGTTTTAGCCAGGTAGCCTGCAGGATCCGTTCGAGTCAGTGTGCATGCAGAAACTCTTCAGGTCCTGAATCATTTCTTGACAATCAGGCCAGTAGCGAGTGATGTCTGGTCAGTGAGTGGGGATGAGGCCTGAGTTTGGCTTCGGCAACGCGCGAGCACGCAGAACAGCCGCGGACGTGAAAGCGAACAACAGCCGGAGACTTCGGCAGCCTGGATTAATTAGCCCTTGGCCCATCTGCAGTGCCATGCTCTGTGTGCAATTGTGAAACAGACGCCTCCATGCGAAGATCCTCTTGCTCGTCTTCGCTCTGTGCTTCGCCATGGCTGGCCAAAAACAAACTGATTGGCGGCGCCGCATTCAGCCGCCTGGGACTTGGCCGATCCCCGAGGTCGGCGACCATTTGGATTCCCTCATCGCGACATGCCTGCCTTCGTTCTTAGTCTTGGACGACGTGGAGTGTGTCACCATGCATGTGGGCCTCTCGTAAGGAACCCCATATTTTTTTTCTTGCTCCTGAGAGATCTCGTGTGCCGGTTTGACAAATCAGGGAACAAGGAGCCCTAGGCTGCACGACGTCCGTCGATGGACAGCTTCACCGGCGACCTCTTTATAAGCTCCTGGAGCTTGAAGCCGGCCTCTTTGGGCATTACATTTCCTTTCCTGTCGACAGATGGATGGAGAAATAGGCTAGCTACAGAAATAATGGGGACACGACGAGCAGACTTGCGACGGTGCTATGCCAGTCAACCAGTACGAGACATGCGGATTAGCTCACATTTAGTATCAAGCCACGAGACGGTCCAAGTCGACCTAGCTTAGGAATCTTTCTGCGACGACTGACCCGCTTGAGCTGAGCAACATGGCTGATCCCACTTCACCTGCTTCAGCCTTCTTCAACAAGCTGACATGATCCCCACGGGGGGGGGGGGGGGGGGGCGGTGAATGGCGTGGAAGCAGCAATGATTCTCTCCCAGCAGCCAATCATGACAGTATGGCTGCTGTTGGAATCGTTAAGGATTTTTCTGTCCATCTGATAAGAGCCTGGGAGAATGTCTTCTGTCTCTCTTTCCTTCAATGAAAAGCCTTTGCTATCTTTCTCGTTAGTATATATCCTAACTCGATCTACAATTGACACGCACAGCTAGCCCATTGATTTGATTTTTGTCAGTTTTGCAGCTTTTTGCGTTGAATACTATCCAAAGAGTAGGATTGAGGTTGTGATCACTACATATCTATATCAGCTGCCTCCAGCCACCGACAAGCCAGGCACCGATCCAACTCATACACATGATATGACTGCAGTTTCTCGGACTGAACGCCTATCTCTTGCTGGGAGGGGTGGACACGCTCTTTCTCAGCCGAGTTAACAGATTTCATCGCCCTGACGTCGCGGGTTGACCATCTCATATCTTCAAGCACCATATCTCAAGACCAGAGGGAGTCAAGAAATGTGGGATATCGAAAAGACAAAGCGTCACTCCGATCGTCTGCTAGCATTGTCTGAACTAGCGTGCTCTACCAATAAGCTGGAGAAGACTGCATATGGTGTACCGATGCTAGAGCCGTCCAAAGGTCCGGAGCTCACATCAGATCCATTGATTCTGTTGTATTATCAGAACTTTCACCATGCCCATCCCATTCTTCTCCCTCAACAGGCTCTTAGTGGTCCTCTCCGTCACTACATTCCGTCATATGTGTTGACGGTGATGCGGTATATTGGAGCGCACTATCATCGCGATCCTTCTGTACAGGCGCCCCTCAAAGAGACTGCCTGGGAGGTGGTGTCCGATGCGGCAGCACCACGAAATGGCTTCCAGGTGCAGTGTATGCTGTTGCTGGCCATTACAGCCCATGCTCACGGTGAAGATGAACGGGCCCATCAGATCGTGCAGTCCGCCGTCGATCTAGCCCTCGACTTGGGCATGCATCGTGCATCGTTTGCGGTGGAGAACTCCCTGCAGAACCCCTTGGTGGAGGAGATGTGGCGCCGGACGTATTGGGAGCTGTATGTGGTGGATGGTCTGCTGAGCGCCCTTCGAGAGCAGAACTCGTTCTCTCTGTACGATGTGAAATCCGATCTGGCTTTACCTTGTGATGAGCTTGTTTATGACAGGGCTGAAGTAGGTCAACCTTCTTCTTCTTTTATTTCTTTCGTTATTTCGTCTTGACAGGATGTTGACCAATCTCCTGCAGTTCATCCCCCGTGGTTATACTCTTGAGGAGTTCATGGAGAACAGGCGGCAACATAACCTGTCCTCTTTTGCCTACCGTGTCGATGCTGTCCGGCTCATGGGAGCCGTCCTGGCTCACGGCCCACCATCCGGACCGGAAGATGAATTCGAGGCGCTGAATAATGCTCTGACAGAATGGTTTTTGCACCTCCCATCTTCGGAGAACGATACCATTGCGGACAGTGGCCGGTTTGACGAGATGTTCTTCCAGGCCCAGATGATTGTCTATTCGTAGGTGTCTTCATCGATCGTCTTGTCTAAGTCCACCAGTGTGGAAATCTCCAGACTAACTGTTGTCTGATATAGAGCGATAATAAACCTCCATCGACCACGTTCGAGCCTAAAGCAGGTGGTACATTGGGGCTCTCACATGTCGTGTCGTCAAGATCCCGCCCGTTTGGAGTTCTCATCATTCGATCTCCTTGATCCCTCTACGAAAAAGATAATCCGGGCCGCGGATTCTCTTTCCAATTTACTGACTCTACCCGGTCCGATTAAGCGTCACAGCCCCTTCCTCATCAATGGCCTCTTGATGGGCGTGCTGGTGCATACGGCGGCAGCTTTGTCGTCAAGCAAGCAGTCTGATGAGTCGTTCAAGGTGCGCGTTGAGCTCGCGGTAGGTGTGCTGAATCGACTTGCCGAAAGCTGGCCTTTGGCCAGGGATGCGAAACACCAAGTGTTGAAGATGTATCGCGAGGTGGTGCAGAGGTTACGCTAGGAGACAGCGGAAGACAGGCAGAGAAAGCGACGATGGTGCAATACTGCCAAGAGGGAAGTACCTACTCGTCTCATGAAGATGCGTGCCCAGGCCGTCGGGATAGCTCCGTCCGTCGTCCAGATGTTCCGCGACCACGCGGATCTGATCCGGGAGGCTCGATCTCGTTATGCCCAAAAACGGCACTATCTCTCTTACTGGGTGGTACAAATAAACCCTGAAGGAGAGCTCCCGGAGCGCTTCCGCGACTTTGAGACACCATCCGAGTCTGGGCAGACTCTCCTTTTCGTATTTCTGCCGTTGTCGAGAGTTGCCATTTGCAATACCAGATGTCTGTCGCACAACGGACGGCGTGCCTTTGAAAGCATGCAACGTTCAGATGTTTCCTGAGAGTCTGACAAGCTCGTCATTTCGAGTCACACAGATCCGGATAGCATCACGCCATACACCCCTGATTTCTATATATGATTGCTGCTAGAAAGGGTCGATCGAAGACAGCCAGAATGGGCTGAGCTGGCTGCATTTGTGCTATTCTGCAATGTAAGTGAGATATGCATCTGGTCACTCGTGCAGAATTCTGATTACATGTCTATACTTCCTGCAGTTACTATGGGTATAGCATCGGTCTATGTTCATGAAGACAAAGAATCGACCGCTCCAGGCGACGATCATGGCCGGCATTCAACAATAACGACGCTACGCAGGTTTCTTACCGAAGATATCTGCGAGGACTGGGTGCTCGAGGCCGAACTGCTCGCGTTGTCCTTTGCTACCGGCATCCAGGACGCCGCCTCGTATCCGGACTACCGCTGCTTCGCCGCCAACCAGACGGGCAACACGATCTTCATGGCCATCAGTGTGGCGGGGCTCTCCGGGGGCGTGTACAGTTTCCCGAACATTATCACCAGCCTGGTCCTGTTTATCGGCGGGGGCCTGGTCCTGGGCCAGATGGGCAACTACTTCGGCGTGCGGAAACGCATCTGGTTGGTTACGAGCAACGTCCTCCAGACGGTGCTGGTCTTGGCCGCGACGATCATCCAGTACGTGTCGCCCATCCAGCGCGACGGCGCCGCGGCGATGGCCGTTCTGGGCCTGCTGGCATTTTCGTCCGGAGGCCAGGTCGCCATGTCGCGGGCGCTGAAGATCACGGAGATCACGACGGCCATGGCGACGGCGGCGTACATCGACGTGGTGTGTGATCCGGCGCTGCTGAAGGCCCGCAACCGCTCGAGGAACCGGCGCGTCGGGTTTCTGGTGTGTCTTACGGCGGGGTGCTACGCAGGCGCGTTTGCGTTGGACGTCAATTCGCCGTTTGCGCTGTTGCTGTGTGTGATTGTGAAGGCGGGGGTGACGGCGGCGTTTTTCTTCAATAGGGCTCTGCCGGGGGATCATGGCGAAGCGGCTACTCCCTAGCGTGTTGTTGAATCTGGCTTTCTTTGGACTGTATTGATTGCATGTTACATGTATGTTGACGGCTAGGATGTATGTACTTTCTACTTCGACAGGAAGTATGTACTGTACTGTTCGACTGCCTGTTCCATCGACTGATTTTAGCTACCAGCAGATAATGCTAGTCAAGTCTGATTTCCTTCTATTATTATGTCAACCGGCAGATATCATTCAGACTAGGGGTTCACTAGATAACCTAGGTTTTTCTTTTGTGCCCCAGTTTGTTTGACAATATTATTATGCCTGTTTCCTCGCAGGAGCAGAGCAGTGGCAGTATTCTTAGAATCCATTCGGACCGACATACCTCAAGCCCCTCTCAAGCACAATCTCGTTCTCTCTTTTCTCCTCCCCCACAGCCCCTCGTCCCTCATTTTCATCCCCACAGCATACCATACCCCACGGGCTACCTGTCTCGAGGTCCTCCACCTGATAGTATTAGTTAGTATTCGGGGATATCGGGATCTAATCAACTGATCGGGTGCTTTCCGACGGAAGTGAAACCGACGCGCGTGGAGCTCGAATGACGCGGATGAGATGCATGTCTTTGGCCAGGCCCAAGGTCATCGACCAGACGGCGAGATAGTACAGTACAGACTGTATATTCTGAATCTAGTTGTGGGTGTTTGAGGCGGATATATCCTGTCAGTGGATTATTATTAAAAACAAGATACTCGTATGTATATACAGCACAGTACAGTACATACGTACCTCGGGTAAAGAGTGATATATACTTAGGTCTGCAGAAACCACTCCCCCGCAGTATCCCCAATTTTGGGACCTTGGAGGCTGTCTACATCGGATCGATGCTTTGCTCCGGTCCCTAACCGAAAGGATGAAGATTGCGGGGTTGAGGAGATGGCTTGGAGACTATATAAAGCGTGTCCTGTCTGGATCTGGAGAGAGTGTTAAGTGTGGATTATTTCTGCCTGCCCAGCTGCTGATCTGCAGACAGTTCTGACTTGTATATACTGCATATCTAACGCACATCATGCCAAACACCAAAACCGTCCGCGTCCCCCATCTCGGCGGCATCGATGCCGCCTACCAGATGCCCTATCCCTACGACCCCAAGAAGCCAACGCTGGTCCTGGTCAACTCGTTCACCACCTCGTCCGAGCTGTACCGCCAGCAGTACGCCAACAAGAAGCTGACGGACACAATGAACCTGCTGGCCATCGAGCTGCTGGGCCACGGCCAGACGCGCACCGCCCGCGAGAACTGGACCTACTGGGACACGGCGGAGATGAACCTGCAGGTGCTGGATGCGCTGGGCATCGACAAGGCGTTTGTGCTGGGCACCAGCCAGGGAGGATGGATTACGGTGCGGATGGCGCTGTTGCGGCCGGAGAAGGTAGACCCATACCTTATCGTACTCGTTCAGTACAATGGCTGATTGTGTATAGATCGCAGGCATCATCCCCCTAGGCACATCCCTCGACTACGAGTCCGAACGCACCCGCCAGCTCAACTGCTGGGACGCCCCAGCGCTGCTGACGCCCAACATCGAGAAGTGGACGAGCAACACGCCGACGCCGGACTTCGTCCCGGACCTCGAGTACTGCGACTTCCTGATCGACATCGGCTTCAACAAGGACTGTCCCACCGAGGTGCGCGAGTTCTGGCGCAAGACTATCCAGGAGAACTACCGCGGGGACGACGGCCGGCGGCGCATCCGCATGGCGGCCATCAATCTCCGAGACCGCGATGGCTTGCACGGGCGACTGGCGGATGTGCGCTGTCCGGTGATGTGGTTGCATGTGCGTATACCCCCCTGTACTATTCGGATAGATACTGACTGTTGTTGTTGTTGTTGTTGTTGCTGTTGGGCAGGGCACCAAAGACGCCGTCTACTCCGTCGAAAACGCACAGCAAGAGATCAAAATGTTCGTCAACTCGCCGGACGCGCAGCTCGTCGTTGTCGAGGGCGGAGCGCATTTCTTGAGCGCGTCTCATCCTAAGGAGGTGGATGAGGCGTTGATTGCGTTTGTGAGTAAGTATAGCAAGTGAATAACCTCATGGCATGGTATGGTATGACTTGACTTGACTGGTCAAGAAGAAGGTGTATATAGTTCTTCTGTTTTGTTGATATGTAGTTTCTGTTAGGTATGGATGAGAATGGATATGTTGAAATAAGGGTATAAAGGCAATGTATACGTACTAGGATATATGTACTGTTACTACTGTACTGTATGTATGTACAGTACATGTTATTGCTGAAGAAGTGTTCAAGACAGCTGCTAGAGCCTTCAGTACTTGCTGCTCTTATAAGATGGCCTCGTGTCATCAAGTATTTCCTCCTGGGTAGGTAGGTAGGGAGTAGCCCTAACAGTGCCACAGATTCAATGTATGTACTTACCGCTTAATGGAAATGTACTGAGTAGCAGCAGCAGCAGAACTGATCTAGTTAGTTACTTGACCACTGGAGGACATGTTGCCAACTTGGATCAAGGCCTCGTTGTTCACTCAGGTATGTTGTCCATGATTGGTAAAGCCTTGGCAACCCCAAGTTGTATATGGTGGCCACTAGGTCTTTTGACAGTATGTATCGGATAGATAGGACCAACAAGATATAGAAGACTGAATTTCGTGCTTTTTGCTATTATGTTCTCTTTGTTGCAGCATTCCATCTTTTAGTCTCTCTGCTAAAGACAGTTCTGTGGCCGAGATTAATGCCGCACAATCCCGTGACCCGATCGTCGCCACTTGCGGCCGTCATTCTTCCACTGGCTGTTCCGGTGGAATAATGATAATAACAACAATAATAATGGCTGAGATGTCGATCCATGGATAGAGATTTACTTGCCGTTGATAAGTTGACGGTACTATGTATATCAGGCCAATCACACGGCTGTCCTTCCTCTCTTTCAGCTGAACCTCACTGTCGTGATCTATTGCCTGGCTGATAAGGCTGTCGTATCTCAGATTAGTATTGCAGTCACTTTTCCTTCAGTTTGCGTTTGTTCTCTCTCTCTTTTTTTTCCCTTTTCTTTAGATAAGACCAGCATGCCGTCCTTGGATCTGACTGATTTCAACATCATCTGCTCGACCCTCGGCCTGTTCATCACTGCTTACGGTTTCATCTCGTACCTGATAAAGGAAAGATTCTATCTCTCTGATGCATGTGGGTCGACCAATATCCAGTAGATATACACCAGACTGACTCCGCATCAGTAATCTCCTTCCTGGCAGGGGTCATCCTCGGCCCCGCGCTGAGTATCGTCCGCCCGCTCAGCCTCGCCCAGGGCCATCCCAGCGACATCGCCTCGATTACGTACTACTTCAGCCGTCTGGTGCTCGGCGTCCAGCTGGTCATCGCTGGCATCCAGCTGCCCAAGCGCTATCTCCTCCACGAATGGCGAGCGCTCGCCGTGCTGCTGCTCCCCGGCTTGACGGCCATGTGGCTGTGCAGCAGCCTGCTCATCTGGCTGCTCGTCCCCGGCCTGCCGTTTCTGCATGCCCTGGCCATTGGCGCCTGCGTGTCCCCCACCGATCCCGTCCTGTCGAGCTCCATCGTCAAAGGCGGCTTTGCGGACAAGAACGTGCCCGTCGCGCTGCAGAGGATCATCATCGCCGAGTCGGGCGCCAACGACGGCCTGGGCTATCCGTTCCTGTTCCTGCCTTTGTTTTTGATGAAATATGCCGGCTCGAACCCGTCAGGGACCTGGTCTGACGGCGTTCTGCGCGCCCTCGAGCGCTGGCTGGGCGAGACGTGGATGTACGCCATCTTCCTGAGCGTCCTCTACGGCGGGCTGGTCGGCTTCGTCGCGAAGGAACTGCTGCGTCATGCTGAAGCGAGGCAGTACGTCGACAGGGAGAGCTTCACGGTGTTTGCCATCTCTCTGGCTGTACGTAGGAGCTCGCTTGTCTTTTTGTTCTGCCGTGGTCTGACCTGTTCCTGCACATCTAGCTCCTTGTCATGGGCACCTGCGGCCTGATCGACAGCGACGACATCCTGGCGTGTTTCATCGCAGGCAATGCCTTCACCTTCGAGTACGTTTCGCTTCTGTTTCGTGTCCTTGTTGGCGGATGATTAAGTTCATGTTGTAGTGACTGGTTCCGCATCCGCACGATGGAAGACACGCTGCAACCGACCATCGATCTGGTTCTGAACATGGCCATCTTCATCTGGCTGGGTGCCGTCTGCCCGTGGCGCTCGTTCGTCGACGGGAGCGTCGTCCCCGTGGGAAGACTGTTCCTCCTAGGCATCCTGGTGCTGCTGCTCCGGCGGCTGCCGGTGATATTCGCGCTGCATCGGATGATTCCGCAGATCGCAGGCAGTCGAGATGCGCTGTTCATGGGGTTCTTTGGGCCGATCGGCATCAGCGCCATTTTCTACTGCTATCTGGGGGTTGAATTCCTGGGGTCGATGGCGCAGGACAACCCGGCGGCGGAACAGCTGCAGGAGACGATGCTCGTGGTAGTGTGGTTTTTGGTGACAACCAGCGTCGTAAGTTGTCTTCTTTTTTTTTCCCTCCCACTTCTTTCGTTGCAGCTGGCTGATTCCGTCCAGATTGTGCATGGCCTCTGCATCCCCTTCGCCATGTCCGGGCACTTTCTGACTCGCAGCGTGCGGAGGACGCTGTCGCAGATGAATAGTCAACCGTTGCGTATATAGCACCTATTTCGTGTCAAGCAGTTGCAGCCGGTGTCCTTGATTATCTGACAATCGTCTGATGTTTGGATGACGTACAGTGAAGTATAATTACCTGATTTTTCATCACGATACTGCATTTTTTTTTGCATATCTTTTTGCATATAGCATGACGGCGCATGGTTCTAGCCCTAGATATCTTTAGATCATAGTCAAATAGCATTCGAATATCCTAGAACGAGTTTAATCGGCATTTGACCGAGAGTGATGAGTTAGTAAGCAAATAGATATAAATAGAATATTCAACATGGTGAATGTACTCCGTACTCAGATATTTACTCTTCACAGCCAATGAGAACACAGCTGTTAGTCATACGTCAAGAAGCTGCAGAATCAGACGAATCCGTCCAAGCAGAATATTCATTAGCCTGCAAGATTATTCACGCAGCAATTCGCGTCTTATCCTCCTGCCCGATCGAGTATCGCATCGGGGCAACTCCGACGATCGACATGGAGATCTCCACCGCATTTCCCCGGGGGTTTCTCCGCATGTGAGAAGCAACAGACAAGCATCGACAAGCCTCATCGCAAGTCAGGCTAAAATCCTAGGCAAAGCTTGTCCGTGCTTGTCCGTGTCTGAGCATGGCTGCCGTCTGTCAACGCTCGTCATGACATGATCGGCGTTTTCTCCGGTGAGATCAGTGATCTGCTGTTTCATACCCCGTACTAATACTCCATACTAATAACGAGATAAGAGCAGGCTTCGTCTGACGCAGGTTCTTCTCGATCCTCTACACCTTCTTCTGAGATCCATACATCAAGGGTGGATCGACAGACAGACAGACAGACAGACAGAGCTGATCTATCTCATGGCCAGCAAAACAGGCGTCAGCTGGCTGCGCGGCACCGCACTCGTCGGCGCCATCACCACCGTCTGCTCGTCCGCCTTCCTGCTGTTCGGCTACGACCAGGGCGTCATGTCCGGCGTCGTCATCTCCGAGTACTGGCTGCGGCAGATGGGCAACCCCAGTACGATCATGGTCAGCACCATCACCGCCCTGTACGACGTCGGCGCCGTCTTTGGAGCCATCTTCTCTGCGCTGTCGGCCGAGCGGCTGGGCCGGAAGAGGACGCTGCTGCTGGGGTCGCTTCTGGTCATCATCGGCGCGGTGCTGATGGGCTCGTGCTACGAGAGGGTGCAGATGATGGTGGGGAGGATCTTGACTGGAATTGGTGAGCAGTGCAGTGCATTACGAGAATGCAGTGTTCGAGTGAGACGTGCTAACTGTTGTAGGCATTGGATACCTCACTTCAGGTAATAGCGTCTGGAACCAGGTTCTTTCAGTTGACTGACCATCCTAGTTGCCCCTGTCTACCAAAGCGAGGTGTGTCTCCCCTCGCAGCGCGGCTGGCACGTCTGCTGCCAGGTGACGATGATGCTGTTCGGCCTGATGCTGGCCTACTGGATGAACTACGGCTTCTACTTCCATCCCGGCACGGTGCAATGGCGCTTCCCGCTGCTCTTCCAGATGGTCTTTGCCGTCTACATCATCGCCGTCACGATCTTCCTGCCCGACACGCCGCGCTGGCTGATGTGGCACGAATCGTCCCCGGACCGGGGCGTCCTGGTCCTCTCGCGCCTGCGCAACAGACCCGTCGACGATCCGGTCGTCCAGACGGAGAAGGAGGACATTCTCACGGCCATCCGCATCGAGTCGCAGGAAGAGGGGACCTGGATGGATCTGTTTCGCGATGGAGGGACGGCAGCCAACAAGCGGTTCTATCTGGCGTTGGGCATACAATTTATGCAGCAGATGACGGGTAAGCCAATCTTTTCTTTCTTTTCTTTTGTTTTTAAAGAATGTATAGCGCTGTTATACTGACAGTACAGGCATCAACATCGTCACCTACTACGCCCCGACGCTCTTCCAGGAAAGCCTGGGCATGTCGCAGGAACGGGCCCTCTTCGTGGGCGGCTTTCTGCAAGTGTGGTACATTCTGGCGTCTTTCCTGACGGTAGGCATCCTTGCTTCTATCTCTCTACCTCCCCTGCAAGACGATGCAGCTGACCGGTTCAGTGGTACATGATCGACGCAATCGGCCGCCGGCGACTGTTCATCACCATGGCGCTCGGCATGTGTGCCGTTCTCGTGAGCGAGGCCATCTGCGTGGCGATCGACAACCGGGCGAGCAGCATTGCGGCGGTGTTTTTCGTCTTTGCGTTTGAGGCGTGCTTTACGTGGGGTGAGTCCCCTCAACCCCTGTCTATATATAATACTGTACAATGCTAAGATAATCCACAGGCTGGATGGCTTGCGTCTGGGTCTTTCCCCCAGAGATTCTCCCGCTCAAGATCCGCGCCAAAGGCGCCGCGCTGGCCGCCGGCGCCGACTTCCTGGGCAACTTCCTCGTCGTGGAGATCACGCCGCCGGCGCTGCAGAACATCGGCTACCGCACGTACATTATCTTCGCCGTGTTCAACCTCGTCTGCGCCGTCATCGTCTGGCTGTTCTACCCGGAGACGATGGGCTTGACGCTGGAGTCGGTCGACCATCTCTTCATTCGCGACGAATCGGAGGGGGAGGACGAGCCAAAGCGGTTTTATCAGCGTCTGCAGTGGTGGGTTGTTCCCAAGTCGTGGGATGCCGTCCGCCGGAGCAGGGCGGAGCGTGCTGCTGCTGGGTACAAGGATGGGAGTGTTGTCGAGGGTGCAGCTGAAGCTCGTACTGCTGTTGCAGAGAATGGAAAGCCTGCGACGGAGATTCAGGCTGAGCATGTTGGATAGGCAGTTGTACATACGTAGGGTATGTCATATGCTAGCGATTGAATTAACATATAGACTGCAGACGTGTCTTGAGTACCTAAGTATGATACAAGCAGATACATTTTCTGTACAATTTATATCATTCCTGTCCATGTTTTGTTCGTTTCGATCGTCTCTTCTGCTCCCAGGCTAATATGTTAGCTAATATGTCAATATAACAATCCAATTCGCATATGGACCAATAGAAGCTGAAAGTATAGCTTAAAGCACTCTCAGTAGTAAAAAAAAAATTATAAGCAGATGAAAGCAACGTAACGCCAAACAAGGCGATCGATCGGTCATCTTATACAAGGTTCTTAGTCATCCACGCTTGCTTTGCTGTCGTGAAGTTTGACTGAATGAAGAGGTCAGCTCCATGCCCTTCATTTCAGCGCTTTTTGTCTAGTCATAGTCTTCTCAGAGGGATTTTGCTGTCTATACTCCTGCTAGTTGATAATCGACAAGGAAACCCGCTCGCTGTGCTCTCATCTGCCGCGCAGTAACAGCGTTACGTCAATCCGGATATCGCTGATTTGCCGCCGTCAGTCAGCCCAGGATTGGAATGCTGATAAGCACAGCAGCTAATTGCAAAACATCAACGCATAGCTAGCTGATCAGCGTTTTTTGGAGCATGATTTAAGACTGAATCCTGTGTCTGGGTAGCATCCCATCCCAGACCTGGGATGCGCAGCATGACCCGCCTCAACAAAGCCGCCATCAAGGCACATCTCCCTCGCCCACGCTTCCTCACCTTGCACTATGCGTATTTCATCGGCGTGTGCCTCGTCACATCGGCCATCTTCTACGGCTCGTCCACGCCTGCCGGAAGCGTGCGATACGTCGACTCGTTGTTTTTCACCGTCAGCGCTATGACGCTCGCTGGGCTCAATACGGTTAATTTGTCGACTATTAATACGTTTCAGCAGGTGTTGCTGTTTTTTCTTATTGTTGTTGGGTCGGGGGTAGGTTTGTCTGAGCTGTCTTTTGTGATTGACTGTGTCAGCTGTATCTGACCTTTTTTTTTAATCTTGATTTTGTCTTCTTGATAAATCGACTGATTAAATCACAGATCTGGGTATCCATCGCAGTCGTCCTCGTCCGTCGTCGAGCCTTTGAGAACCGCTTCAGCGATATCGTCGCGGAGCAGCGTCTCCGTCGGACGAAAACGAATCGCTGGGCCTTCTTCTCGCGGTCGTTCGAGCGGCAGCGAACCACTCCTCCTGGAGAGGAACGTGCCAGGACAGACGGCTCCCTCGAGAGACGTGCGTCCTGGAGGCTGTCTATCTCACGGGCGCTGTCGGGCAATTCCTTAGGCCAGATGCGGTCTAGGTTTGGGGGACGCGAGAGTGATACGGAGACACCAACGAAGCCGGATTCCTCGCAACAGGATCAGCGTCCATCAACTGACAAATACGAAGAAGAATCAGCTGATGAATCGCCTTCGCAGAACGATGTCGAGGCAGACACCCATATTACCTTCCCCGACGGTGGATGGGGGCGTCGGTCGAGCATGCAAAGTCGCCATCGTTCGCCATATGACAGTGACGATGACGACGGCCATTTGCTGTTCCTGCGCAAGATAGGCCGTAATTCCACATTCCACCACCTGACGGACGCAGAACGGGCCCGACTCGGGGGCGTCGAGTATCGAGCCGTGTGTCTGCTGTCCATTATCGTCCCTGTGTATTTTGTGCTGTGGCAGCTCCTGGGAGGCCTGGGTCTGGGGGCGTACCTGGCGAGGAACAAGGCGTCTGTGACGGAGAGCAACGGACTTAATCCGTGGTGAGTGTTGGACTTGATATCCATGGTATATATCGACTGACTGCTCAGGTGGACTGGGTTCTTCTTTGCGGTTTCTGCTTTTAACAATTCTGGAATGAGTTTGCTGGATGCGAATGTGGTAGGTGTTATAATAATAATTGGATTTGGTTTAGTGCTTGTTAAGCAAGATTATATAGGGCCCCTTTGAAAATTCCATCTACTTGCTGATTACAATGGGCCTGTTGATCCTGGCTGGAAACACCTGGTGTGTTCTGTCAATCCTTCATTAGGTATTCATGCTGACGGCCCAGCTATCCCGTCTTTCTGCGCTTGGCCCTGTATACCATGCGGCTGCTGCTCCCTGACAGCGAGCGCGATCTGCGCGAAACGCTGACCTTCCTGCTTGACCATCCGCGCCGGTGCTACACGACGCTCTTCCCGTCAAAGCACACCTGGTGGCTGCTCTGCTCGGTGATTGTGCTGAATGGCATCGACTGGGTGGCATTCGAGGTGCTGAATGTGAGTTTCTGCCCTACTCCGTCTCATGCGATTTTTCGGTGCTCAGACAGGTTATCTAGCATGACAATCCCGCCATTAACCGCATCCCTCTCGGTCCACGCATCCTGGACGGTCTGTTCCAGGCCCTGTGCGTGCGCAGCGGCGGTTTCTACCTCGTCAGCATTTCGTCCCTCGAGCTCGGCCTGCAGGTGCTGTACGTCGTCATGATGTACATCTCCGTCTACCCGGTCGTCATCACGATGCGCAACTCGAACGTCTACGAGGAACGCAGTCTGGGCATCTACGCCGACGATCCCGCGGTGAGCCTGGACAACCAGAACCCATCGCTAGAGGACGGCGAACGCCTCCCCATGCGAAACGCCTCCGGACGCATGTATTTCATCCGGCAGCAGCTCCGCGCCCAGCTGGCGCACGACCTGTGGTGGATCGTGCTGGCCGTCATCGTCATCTGCATCGTCGAAGCCGGCAGCTTCAGCCGGGATCCGGTCACGTATTCGGCGTTCAACATCGTCTTCGAGACGGTGAGCGCCTACAGCTGCGTCGGCATCAGCACCGGCCTGCCTGACCAGCAGTACAGTTTCTGTGGCGGCTGGCATACTGTCAGCAAGCTTGTGCTCTGCGCGGTGATGATTCGCGGTCGCCATCGCGGACTGCCTGTGGCCATCGACAGGGCGATTCTCCTGCCTGGGGAGCATCTCGCCCGCGCGGAGGAGGAGGATGCGCATATGAGGATGGAGCGGACGATGAGTCGGCATGATTTGTAGTCAGTCTGAATATTATCTATTAAGGTATTCGATATCATTGTATACACTTTAAAACTTGGAAAGTTCTGCTCATAGGCATCCTGTATAATCTTCGAGGGGTTAGCTTCTCAGGATCTTTTCCCCTCGTGTTCTCAATATCGCATCGATACATTGTTTCCGATTTGTTCAATGCTACATGTAGGGTATGGAAGTTTCGCAATTGCAGCGAGAGCTGTATACTGCACGAACAATCGCAAGTAAAGACCACAGAGCTACATTTATTTTTATTTTTATTTTTGTTTGCCATCACCATTAGCTGCTCTTTCTCATCTCAGCGTAAGAGTGAAATGTGATCTCATTTGCAGCCTATGTAGGGTATAGAGTGGTTGCCATGGCCCTTTTTTATTTATTTATTTATTTTTTTTCCCCGGAGTGATGAAATACTAATCATAAACTCCGACTCGGATCCCTGCTCGCGGGGCGGTATTCCTTATGCATCAGCGGTCAGACTCCTAACTAGTATCTTGATCTTGATCAATAATAACAATTAATTGCGAGAAAATTACTGCCTAATCATCTGCCAATCCCAGTTGGTGAGTTTATTGATGTGCTGTTTTCTACGCGTTTCGACAGCTGGCAGCGGCAGGCAGCAACATAACGCGGATACGAGCCGAGAGTCAGCACAGTACAGCGATGAACATATAAACAGGGCCCAAGTTTTTTTTGTCTGATGCAATTTCTGTTCGCTGAACTCGTATTAATCACCACAATTTGACAGTACTCCGTAGTTGATACTGAACATGTCCAGCATCCCCCTCGCCAAGCGGTCGAAAGTCAGCGACCTCACTGTCATCCCCGACAAGTGGGAGTCGTACCCGACTATCGACCGCTCCAAAGTCCAGTCCTGCTCGTTTGAGCATCTCACTCCGTCGACGCGCATCCGGCGCTCGAAACTCATCAAAATGACGCTGCAGGCGAGCAGCAGCGGCAGCAGCAGCAGCAGCTCCATCAAGCGCAGCAAAGTCAGCGACAGTGTCATTGCAGACTCAAGCATCAAGAGCAGCAAGCTGTCACACTGCGAGGTCAGGGCTGTCAGACTCGTGAAATGGTCGAAAGCGCGGGGTTCGCGCCTCGAGCATGTGCGCCGGCTGAAGCGCAGCGATGTCGAGGATAGCACGGTCAGAAACGTCAGACACGTCAAATGGAGCTCTGTCCGGCGGTCCTTTGTCACCGACACGGCGCGCATCAAACGCTCGTCGGTGCGGGATGTCCGCATGGCCAACAGCGTCGTCGACCGGTCGTCGCTGACGGACTGCATTGTCGCGAACTGCGAGCTTTACCGGACTAGCTTTACGGGGATGGTGCTGGAGAACGGCATATGGAAGAATGGGCAGCTGGTGGGCCGGACGAGCGAGAGGGAGGTCGTTGTTCGGCGGAAGACAGATGCAGATAAGGTAGCGTGTCCAATATCGCAATTTAACAGGATAAATACTGATGAATACAGGAATACACTCCATCCACTACCAACGGACAGGCTCAGCCTAACGGTATCGGGATCGAGACTGTCGATCCCAGCACCAGCACGTCTTCGACAGTCCCAGTCACCGTCCCTGAAAGCAAGCAGAAGCAGAAGAAAGCGTCCAAGAAGGAGAAGAAGAAGAAGAAGAAGCTTGTCGACAGCGACAGCGACTCGGACTCGGATTACTCCTCGTCGTCCAGTTCCTCCTCGTCCAGCTCATCGTCCGATAGCGAAAGCGATGGCGAGGACTTGGTGAGACATGATGTCTCTGCGAAAGATCGTCTTTCGCCTCCTCCGCCGTACGAGGAAAAGAGCAGCGCGCCGGTCGAGCTGAAGTAGTTGCTTTTTGCTCTGCTGGTAGTGGTGTGCATGAGCTGGCTATTTTTTTGTTTTCAAAGTGATATACGTATACCCTGGATGAGTTTGGCAGATACTTCGTGTTTATTACTATTATTATTCTTTCATTTTTTTTATTATTTTGTTTTCTATTTCTGCTTTGTCCTTAGAATTACTATGAATACTGTTATTACTATTTCTGTTATTGTTTGAACTTTCATGATTCCCACGTGCTGCATTCGCAATCTCCGGGATATTAGTATCAAGTAATACTGGATGGGACTGAAGTGAGACAAGACGATCTCTCCCTTACGTGAGCTGACGATCTGGCGGGCTGAACTATATTTGAATGTTCATATTCCTTGTTCGCTGTCTCCTCCCTCCCTCTCTACCTTTTTTTTAGGCATTTTCCGCTACTTCTTCACTCAACGGACACTTTCCTACTTAAAATTATCTCTACATAATTATTATCCAATTATTATGACATACTCGTCCAGACATCTGTTATTTATTCTGTGTAGCGACCGGAATTGGAAGCCGAGCCCGCTGCTCCACCACTTGGCTTAAATCCTTAGCCAGGGGCCAACGTTGCATTGCACGCTGCTCGACGGAATATCATTGATCGACTGCCTGCTAGGGTATTTTTGTGGGCTATTCATAGCATACCGCCGCAACTCAATTCGGACATTTCGGCGTTTTGAAACAGGTCCACCGGTCAGTCAGCTCAGCATCATCATGGGCAGCGAGTCTATAAAGGCGGGCGCCTGTCGCCAGATTCAGCATTGCATTGCCATTGAATTGCCATCGCAACAGAACTCGCCATGGCACGCCTTCTCAAAGCCGCTCTTCTCGCCCTCGCCCTGACGCCCTCGGTCCTGGGCAAACCTCTCGTCGACTTCTCCGCCGCGCGCAAGGACAACCCCTCCCTCATCGGCAAAGAGGACCTCGAAGCAGCGCGGGGCGTCGCGGTGAAGTCCAACACGCCGGACCTGTACATCAAGCTGGACACGGACCCCAAGGGCACCCCGGCGCTGCACTACCACCGCAAGAAGGGCGACATCCGCGCCGAATACCACGCCCTGGCCGGCAAAACGCAGAAGGACTCGACCTACTACATCGGGTACAAGTTCTCGCTGGCTGAGATCCAGCAGAGCTTGATGATCTGGCAGTTGTACGTCCATCTTTAACCACTGCCGGAGTACTGCATCTGCTGACTCGGTTCTAGCAAAGAATATGAAGCCAACCACGACGGAGGCGCCAACATCCCGCTCGCCCTGGAGATCGTCGACGGCAAGCTGCAGTTCCAGTACCAGGCGTCAGGCAAGACGGGGCGCGAGCAGCAGTGGGAGACATCCGTGTCGCCCAACACCGAGTACCAGGTCGGCATCGTGATCAACACGGCGCAGCCGCAGGGCTGGGTGCAGCTGTACTGGAACGGCGAGTTGCAGACATTCTCCAGCACCGGCCACACAAACCTCACGGCGACGACGTTCCCGGGCCGCGCGGAGCCCAAGTTCGGCGCCTACCGCGGTGAGGCCGTCGCCATCGACACGTATGTGTATGACATACAGATCGGCACGACGTTGGATGACATCCAGCGCGCGGCGGGGATCCGTAGCTGAGTGTCGTCAGACTATGTACTGTACATACTGCACACATAATCCAGAAGAATAGTCTACATCAAGTTACTATAATAAACGTGAGAATTGTCCGATTTCAACCAGCTACCTCTCGTAGGTAACTATTGAAATGAGCAAATCCATATAAACTGGTATGCTGAGGAGAGGACAGGTACTGATCAGAGATCAGACCTCAGCCTGACATTGCAGGGATCCCACAGATCAGAATTACCCGTACGCAGACTGGGAGAGCTATCTATTATTCTATGGAATAGCTTGATAATTATCGGGATCGGGGATCGGGATCCCGGGCAAGTCGCTCCGAGTCTGGGAATTCCTAGCCGAGGCGCCAAGATTACGCTACTCTGTATACAGAATAGCCGTCTTGGCGTGATGACATAATAATGCCGACTCTTACGTAACTAGTTAACTAACTAACGTAATTCCCGGCCGCTCCGATCACCCGGTCGCTCCGATCACCCACCCGCACCTTCAAATACTGTGCAGAATTTGAAGTTTTATTACTACCCAAAACAGCAATTATTTACAAAAATTATGAATTAGAGCGATTAGGGCATCGAGTCCGTATATGCCCAATAGTTCCACAGTTAGTACACTTTGGCGGCGCGCGCGTACGAGGTGCAGAAGCCGCCTCCGCGGCCGTAGTAGCCATAACCAGCGGCACCTGATTTTCATCTGAAATTTGACTTTGA